AAAGGGAATTTATTTTAAAAAAAAAAAAAAAAAAAAAAAAAAAAAAAAAAAAAAAATATCTTAAATGGGATATAATAGAAATATGGAATTTGATATGTTTAAGTGATAAATAATTAATATAATTATTTAGTTGGAATAAAAATGTATTTTTTTGTCAAATGAACCTAATACAAGTAATGATTTTTTATTTTCTTCAATATCATTTGAATTTATTTTATTATAAAATGGGCATATAAATTTTTTTAATAATTGAAAACACCTAATTTTGTATCCGTTATTTATATTATTTATAATATTTCCGCTTTTTATATCAAAAATTAAAATATATGTTCCGTTGATTTTATCATCAGATGTTACATAAATATTATTACCATTTATATCCAATTCAATAGTTGGAAAGGAAAGCGAATTTAATACACAACCATAAATTTTTTTTATTATTGATTTTTTCATGAATGAATATACTAGTATTTTAGAAGTATCTGTGCATACAACTAAAATATTTTTTTTTTTGTTATATGCTAAATTTAAAATGTTATATTTTTCTCCTATATCAAATAAATAAACTTTATTTTCTATATTATAATTTTTACTATTTAGAAATATTATATTATTACTATTAAGCATACTAACAATTATTGATTCCTTACCGTTATTTTCTTTTATCCATAAAAAGCTTGTTGGTATTTCGGGTAATCCTATAATTTTTTTTTTTTCGTAAAAAACTGATGACATATTATCATCTATTATTTTTTCATAAATTATTAAATTTTTATCATTTGATATGGAACAAAATAAGGAATAATCCTCATTAAATTTACATTTTATAGAATATTTATTATGATATTTAAAGTTTTTTATAATACTTATGTATTTTACATCTCTTTTTATATTTTTTACTATATCATCAACAGAATTATTTAACTCAACAATGTTCGCTAAATTAATAATACAATTCATATTTATCTTACAAAGATAAATTTCCCCATTCATTGATGATACAATAACTAAATTGTCTTTGTAATTGATATCTATATACATTACCGGTGAGCTTAATAAAATATTATCTAACTCTTTATTCATATGGATACATTCTTCTATATTATTTTCATTATCATTTTTTTTTTCATAAAGCACCATAAATAATTTTACACGATTATCTGAATAACCTACTAAGAGTAATATTGGAAGAAACTTTTTAAAAAAAATAATATTCTCGTTTTTCCTGTCTTTCTCAGTGTATGTATTATATATATCTATATATTTAACAGTTAAAATATTTGATGTTTCAGAATAACTTTTATCGTTTTTTTCTTTATTTATTGAATTGTTATTATATTTAACTTTTAATTCTTTACATATTTCTCTTTCACATGAAAAATAATTATCCCAATAATTCATATTATCACTTATACATTTTTCTTTTATATTATCATTGTATTCATTTTGTGAATATTTTAAGTCATCATTTTTCAATTTTCCATTATAATTGTCAACATTCATTTCATTCTCATTTTTAAATGAATGTATATAAAAGCTACTTTCATCTTTACCTAGATGTTTATCATTTATGAAATTTTCTTTTGTTTCATTAAATTGATTATTCATAAATTTAGGAAATGTAGCTTTTAAATTCTCATTTTTTTTTACATAATATATTTCTTCAACTTCATTGTCTATCATAATTTCTGACTTATCTTCTTTTCTGTTGTAATTTTTAATATTCATATACTCACTTTCTAAATCTTCTTTATTACAACTTTGTTTATCTCTTTTCTCTTCTGTATCTTCATATGGATATATGTGTTCTTTTTTTCGAACAAAATTGTTATTGTTTATATAAAAATTTTCATTACCGAAATCTTTTTTATCTATTTCATCTTCTTGATTTTTTTTTTCTATTTCTATTTTTAATATATTTTCAAAATTATCTATAGCCTTACATAATATAGAATTATTCATATTTTTAATACATTGATTAAGAAATGTATAATTTATATCAAAATCGTCACTTAAATCATCATTCTCATTATTGTTAATGTTGTTATCAGAATCATAATTTGTATTATCTAAAAAATATGAATCATAATCTTTTATATAATTTATTTTACTTTCATTTTTTAATTCCTCTAAACTTTTCTCCATTCCAATTTTATCTAAAAAATCATAAATAAATTGAATATTCCGAAAATATTTTTTATTATATTCTTCAAATTCTTTTTTCATTTTTATTTTTTATTTTCTAATGATAATTTTTTTTAAATAAAGAATAAAAAAATTATGTAATTTTGAATATAACTATTCAATTCTATCACTAATAAATTCTTCTCTATATAACATCATAAATTTAAAATAATTCTTTACAGATGTAACAAAGATAAAAAGACAAAAGAAAACAATTGTGAATTTTTTAAACAAAATGGAAAAAAATAATAAAAATTTTTTCTTTTAATTTTATATGTTTATTTCAAAAAAAAATGATATAAAAATATCTAATAAAAATAATGAATTTAATAAATATCAAGTTTCTGATTTAGAGAACTAAATTAATCTATAAATTATTGTGAAATTCGAAATTACATTATTTAAAAGAAAATTTATTTTTCTTATCTTTAATTAGATAAATGTATATTAAAAATTATATTTGTTTATATATTTATAATTCATTTATACTATTAATACAAATCTACGTATCTAATTTGCTTCATACTTTAAAGAAAATGATTTTCATTTTTCTCTCTCTTTTTCCTCTTATAAATTTTTTTTTGTATGAACTCTGAATTAAATCAAAATAATATTTTACTTTCTATAAAAGTAAAAAAATTTCTTTTAATCTATTATAATTAAAAAAATAACAAACAATATGTTGCACTTTTTAATTTTTATGATATATATTTAACATTCAAATTTTTTAATAAAAAGAAAAAAAAGAAATTATCCTGGAATATTGTTTATATTCATATTTAAAATATATTTTATTTAATACATTAAAATATATATAAAATAAAAAGTATAAAGATATTAATAAAAAATTTTTAACATATTTCTACTTTAAATGAAAAAAAAATAATTTTTATAGAAATACACTAATTTTTTATGTATTTAAGATGATTATTAAAAAAAAAAAAAAAAAGAAATGGGCATTAGATTTTTTACATGTTGAATTTTTCAACATAAATTTTAATAATAAAATATTAAAAAAAATAAAAAATTTCCCGTGTGTTTAATAATATCTCAAATGTTTTTAGAAACATATTATTTATCAAATAAATTTTATACTCAAACTTTTAAAAAGAAAGCAGGAAAAATATATGTATCATAATATACAAATTTTTTTTATTCATGTTTTTCTTGAATCTATATTTGTTAATTTTTTTATTTCTTTTAATAAATTTTATAACGAAACAACGGAGTACTTCATTTTAATCCTATTAATAGTCTAAAAAGACGAAAAAGAAGATAAAGAAATTTTAGTAAAAATTCTCATAATTTAAATTTCATTTCATTCTATAGCTATTTATTATATTTATTTTTTTTATTACAAATATTTTTATCTTTTATTTTTTTTTCAATTGAAGTTCAATAATTCGACATTATACTTTCACTATTACATATAAAAAAAAATAAAATAAAAAGTTTATTAATTTCATTATCTATATGTTGTATATGAATTAATACAAGCTCATTAGCATAAATATGTAAAATATATCCTTGAAGAAAAAAAAAAGTTACCATTTTTTAAACTTATTCTTACATTTATTTTTTTTTTTAATTAGTAAACACAATAAAATACTTTTCCTCATCTTTATATTTTTATCAATGTTTTTTTTTTTTTTTTTTTTGTTATTTTAAATAAAAAAATATATTCCCTATAATATTTAATTTTGAATTTACATAAATACTTATTCTCTTAAAGCATAACAATTTTTTAAAAATTATAAAATAAAAAAATATAAAATTTATGTCATTTAATTTATGATATATTTATAATATCATTTATGCTTCTCAATGAATAAAAAAAAAAAAATATATTTTTAAAAAGTTAAATACAAAACACTTACTTTTTAATATAAAACTTTTTTTTTCATGTAAATTTTCAAATATATTCTTTTTCATTTTCAATGAAATTTATATGAATTTCCAAACTTTTTAATAACACACAATTAAACATTTTAAGCGCATTTAAAACATTTATTTATATAAAGTCTTAATATATTATTTACAAGAAATAAAATTTTTATTTTTTATTTTTACAAGTTAAATTACAATTTTTGTTATTCATTTTCTTCTAATAATTTGTGTTTTTTTTTTTTTTTTTTTTTCCTATTTTTATTGATTTCTTATTTTCAATTCTCAATTGTAATAGAATAACAAAAAAATGTAAAATATATAAAAAAAAGAAAAATACAAGTTTTTTTTTTTTCTTTTTTTTTGGTGCTTGTTAGTAAAAAATGATTAATCGTTTAATATAAAAATAAATCCCCACATATATCATGAAATTATAGATTTAATAAATAATAATAACATATCACACATGTATTACTATGTATATATATATATTATTGTAATTATGGTTGCACTAATAATATATAATTTACAAAATTTCCAATAAATATATATTTTTTTATAAAAAGTTTTTATTTTATTTTTATTTATTTTATTTTATTTTTTTTTTTTTGTTGTATATGAATTTTACTTAACAAAAATATGATTAACCAACTATATTACTTGTAAAATACTTTTTTTTTTTTTTTTATCTTACCATTCATTTATATTGTTTTTCTGTACTTTTATTTTTGTTTAATTATGAACGTATATTTGTAATATTTCTATTATTTCTCTATATTATACATTTTAATACTTGATAATTTATATTTTATAATTTTATATTTTTATTATTTCACTTTTTTTTTTTTTTTTTTTTAATTGTGTCATATATATTCATGATCCAAACTTTTTTTTTTTTTAAATCACTTAATATTTAAGACCCACACATGTTAAGTCTTTCTATATGTAATAATAAAGTAAAAAATAATGTTGTTTTTTTTTTTTTTTTTTTTTTTTTTAAATAATTAATATGTTTTGTTATTTTTATAATATTTATAAAGGTAGGATCAAAATAAAAACATGGAGAAAATTTTAATAAAAAAAATTAAAATGAAAATAAGTGTAAATAAAAATACAGCAATAGTTTAATTTTATTTAGAGACTAATAAAATAAAAAAAAAAATAAATTGATAATAAATTGATTGTAAAATAACAGTAATATAAATAATTATTATTAATTTTTTCAGAATTCAATGTTTTTAATGTTTTTTAATTTCATTATTAATTTTATATTTAATAAAAAAAAAATCACATGATAAATATTTAGCATGAAAGAGCTCCTAGAAAGAAATAAGAAAAAAATAAAAGAAAAAGAACTGAAAAAAGGACAGGAAAAAATTATAAAAAATGAAAAAGAAAAAAAATATGACAAAAAAAAGGAAATTGAAGAAAAAGAAAGCCAAAATGAAAATGAAAAAAAAAAAGAAAATGTAATGAATAAAGTAAAAAATGTGAAGAATTTTTTAAATATTGAAAAGTATGAGGAAAATGAAAATGTTGATTTTAAGGATTTTGTTTTAGGTGATATATCAGATGATTACATAGGAAAAAAAGAGAAAATTATTTATGATCATTTTGGGAATGTTGAAAGAAAAATATATAATGGGATGAGAAAAAGTGAACATTTGTACAAAAATAAATTTGATGATAGTAAATATAATCAAATAACAGGATTAAATTTAACAAATTATTTTCTAGTACCAGATGAAATAAGACATAAATACACAAAATCATATTTATTTCAAATATCAAAGAGATTACTAGTTATGAAAAAACCATGGAGATTACCTAAAAATGTTGAATTACAAATTAATAATGTATATCATTTATCTAATTATATAAAAGTATTAGAAAGAATATCAAGTGAATATTTAAATGATCCACCTATAAATTATTATTATAGGGGATTAGAATTATATAATAAAAATGTATTTGCAAATATAGATTATCTATTAAAAAAAGTAGATATAAAAAAAAATCAAAAAAATGTGAATTATAAAAATTTAATAAAAATAAATGAATGTTATTACGATTTAAGTACATTTGGTAAATCACCGAATTCTATGTTTTATCAGTCATATGTTATATGGGATATACATGGTAATAATTTAACTTTAGAAGAAGAATATGAAAATTTTTTCGAATCGCAAATTATTGATTATGCTTTTGGTGAAAAAGAGTATCCAAATTTAAAATATATTTTAAGTATTTGTAGTTCTATATTATTATGGCTAAATTTCAATAAAAAAGATAATTTTGCTATTATAAATTATCATAAAACTAGCTCTTTTATTTTACTCATTTTTTCTTGTGTTATGTTAGCCATAGATAATTCTTTAACATTAGGTCAAATTCAAGAAATTTTATATAAATCATCAAAAATATATAATAATGATGATGATGAAGAGGAAAATATAAATACTGATGTATCTTCTAGTTATTTCACAAGTAAATATGACAACAACTATATTTATGAAAAATCTGATGGTATGTTTGATATATTACATAAAAAATATGATGAAATAAACTACAGCGAATTTTCTAATAATAATAATAATAATAATAGTGGTAATTATTTTTCAAATGCAGATTATAATAAAAAAAGAGAAGCTTCTGAGTCATGTAAAATATATAATTTTAATAATCAAGATAATTTAGAGAATAACACTAATTTTATAAATAATTTAAATAAAAAGGAAAATCACAATTCTAAGAATGGATATAATGAGGAACCTATTGAATGTGTTAACCAAATTCAGTATCACACGTTAAATTTAAATAGTAAAAGTGGAATATATGATAATGAATTAGATAATTCTAAAAATAAAAAAAAAGCAAAATTTTCAAATTCTTGGGGTTTTGGACTAATAAATAGAGAAACTTATAAAAATAGTAAAAGAGTAAAAGATCATCACTTTTGGATGCCATTTGATTATTGGAAGCCATCTCATAAAAGATATTTTTTTTATTTCAATGAGTTAATAAAAAATAAGAATAAAAAAGTGGAAAATAATGCTTTTAGATTAAATAGCATGATTTTTACTGATTATGCTTTGTGTTCTGTTTCAATTGAGGTTTATGAAATTATTTATAAGGATAATGAGGATTTTAATTTAGATTTTTATTCAGAACATGAATCAGAAGAAGGCACATATGAATGCTCAGATTATGAAGAATCAAGAGATGGTATATCAGAAGACGGATATGAAGAATGTGGGTCAGATAATTTAAATGAAATGAAATCAGAATTAGGTGAAGATGAAAATAATGAATATAAATTGAATTGTAAAAATTTATCTGAGTATACTTTTAAAGAAGAGGGAAAAAATAAATTAGATTCAAAAATGAAGAGTATAAATTTTCAAAAAATGAATAGCAATAAAAGTATGATTTTAAATAAAAATGACTATTTTTATAAAAATAATGAGATGATTTATAAAAAAATTTTTAGTTATGATTTTCCGAATTATCCAGAAAATAGTAATTCAAACAATCTAAAAATTAATTGTGCATCTAATATGCATTACGATTTACCAAATTTTAAGAAAAAAATGAATAAAGGTTTATCAGAAGAAACGCATAAAAAAGGATTTATTACGTTAAAAAAAAAATTATTAAGAACATCTTCTGACTATAATTTAAAGAACTATTTTAATGTATATAATGAAAATTCTGCAGGAGAATCATTTAGTAATAGAAATAAAATTTCTGAAAAACATTCAAGAATAGAATCAGAAGAAAGTAAAAAAGGAAATACAGCTGATCCATCGAAAACTCGTAGCTTTCATTTAACAAATAAAATGAAAAAAATAGCTAATGTTTTTTCAACTCGTAAAAATTTTTCACATTGTTCTTCTAAAATGAGTTCAGGAGATTCGTTTGAACATGAAAATGAAGAGATGAATAAAAGTAAAGACTTTAAAAGAAGCAAGATACAAAATATAATCCATAATAAAAAAAAAATTTTTGATAACTTTAAAGAAAATAAATATAACTCTTTTTCTTCAGATAAGTCTATTATTTCCAATGATAAGATAAACATGAATAAATTTATGAAAAATGGAAAAGTAATAATTGAAGAAAAAAAAAATAAGGAAAAAGAAAAGGGTGAAAAGAAGAATAAAAAAAAGGATAAAAAAAAATATGGTTTTTTAAAAAAAAATAGAAAAAAGAAAAAATTAGAAGATAAAACAAAATTATCAACTTCTAAATATGGTTATGAATATTTTTTAAAATGTAATAACTTAAATTATAATATTGTATCATCATATGAAAAAAATAAAAAAAAATACATAACTATCGATTTTACTCATGACTCAGAAGGGAATGCTAAAGAACATATCATATGTGGAGATATTTTAATCCTGATAGGTCACAAAAATGTAGATAAATTCAGTAAAGGGTTTCCATGCTCTTTTTCATTTCATACGGGTTTTTTAAAAAAAAATTCTTCAGAAATTATTCATATAAGAAAAGATGATATAGACATTAACAACAATTATGAAAATTATATACCGGATAACATGAAAATATCAATTGTTTTAGATGTGGCTACAAAAAAAGATTCTTTAAATGCTTACAAGAAATATTTAAAAAGCAATAACAAATTTGATGATTTAGAAGAATTAAAAAAATTTGAAAAAAAAAAATTTTATGTCTCAAATGAATGTGAACATGTAATACATAAATTACATGATGATTTAAAATGTCCCTGTTTTACCGAAAAAAATTATAACTATTTTGAGAAACATAATTCTATAGAAAAAAAAAAAAAAAAAAAAATAGAAGATTGTTGGAGTGAAGAGGAAATAAAAGATGATACAAAAAAAAGAATAAATAGTACCGAGTTAAACAAGAAAAAAGGTAAAGAGGATGAAGAGCAACAAATACAAGAAAAGGATGAACAAGAATATCAACTTATAGAAACAAAAGAACAAAAAAATACTTTAGAAACTAATGGTAGCAAAAAGTCGGATTTTAATTCAAAAATGCATTACAATGTATATACATTGTATAATGAAAAAGAATCAAAATTAAAATACAACGCAACTAACATAACTCAAATGTTAACATCTTTATTTGGGTTTAAAAATAGAGAAGATAAATTTTCATTAAGTAAAAAGCAAAATTTGTGTTCCCTTTTAACATCAAAAAAATCCATATCTAATTTAATTTCTTTGAAAGATTTTTTACAAAGACAATTTGAAGTTATTACAAAACCTTCAGAGAATTTGTGTAGCTTTGTTAAAAATCATGTTGTAAAAGTTAGTGTTTCATTGGTAAATTATTTAAAAAAAACAACTAAGTTATCGAAGTTAAAAATTCTGTTTTCTTTAAAGTTATGTAATAATGATTTAAATAAATCTCTTAATTTTATTTTATCTGTCTGGGGATTAGACATATTAAAAAAAGAAAAGCCTATTAAATACAAATCATCACTAAATGAGGCTCCTGAATCTAGTTGCGAATTTAAAAGAACTTTAGATTATAATAATATAATTAGTGAAACATCAAAAGGTTCATCAAGATGCTTAGATAATATTGAAGATGTAAGTGTTAAAGATTGTTTAAGACACGTAAATATTGCATATTATGAAAAAAATAATTATTATTTTAAAAGTATTCATTTAAAAAATGTAAAAGAGCTCGAAAGTGAAGAAAATATTTTGAAAATAGAAGACAAGGAAAATGAGAAATCAAGTTCATTTGATCATCTAAGAGAAAATGTTCATAATAAAGAAGAAAAAGAGATAAAAAATGAAACAAAAAATGAATATTCAAATAAAGAAACTTCAGAAATTACAAGCATTGATGGAATAAAAATTGCTAAATTTCATATAGACAAATCTGATTATGAGGAGAAAGAAGATCAAATTATTAATAAAAAAAGAGATTATAATTTTTTAAAAAAAGAAAAAGATATATATGATATAAATAAAGAAGGAAAATTAAAAAATAAGGAAAAAGCAATAAATGACATTGAAATAGGGGATGAACAATTAAAAAAGGTAAATCATATTAAGAATGATGATCATGTATTAAAAAAAATAGGAGAAAAAAAATTTTTTTATGCAAAATTTCCAAGTGGAGAATTGATTAAATTAAAAATTAATGATTCTTCTCCTTCAAGTTCTCATGATAATATGCCATTATTATTCATTGAGCCTGTTGATGAATCAGAACAATTAATATATACATTGAATTCAAATCAAACTCAAAAATCAAATAAAAAAGAAAATATTATAAATAAAGATAATTTAAATAAAGATTTTTTAATTAATGATATAACAAAAATGTACCGAAAAATTAATGAAAAAAATTGTACTGAATCAACATTAAGTATTGTAAGTGATAAGTCTACCACTTCTACGTATTCTACATCGGTTGTAGGAGCATCTTTAATTTCTTTTTCCAACTTGAGAGAAAAAGAAATTGAAAAAAAAAAAATTGAAGAAATAGAGGTTGAAGAGAAAGAAATGGAAGAAAAAGAAATTGAAAAGAAAGAAATTAAAGAAAAAGAAATTAAAGAAAAAGAAATTGAAAAGAAAGAAATTGAAAAGAAAGAAATTGAAAAGAAAGAAATTAAAGAAAAAGAAATTGAAAAGAAAGAAATTGAAGAAAAAGAAATTGAAAAAAAAGAAATTAAAAAGAAAGAAATTGAAGAAAAAGAAATTGAAAAAAAAGATTATAAATTAGTTAATGATAAACAAAAGACAGCTAATATTGTTGAAACACTGTTAAAAAAATCAAGAGAAAAAAAACCTCCACCACCACTTCCTGCTTCATTATTAAAAGCTTCTATTTTGAAAGAGAAAATTGATAATACACCAGGAGATGTAAAAGAAGACACTACTATAAAGGAAATGATATCTAAAAATGAACTTACAAAAAAATCTGTTAAAAAAATCCCATGTCCACCTCCATTTCTTCTAAATAAAAATAGTATGAAAGAAAAATCCAAATTTTCCTTAAAAAAATGTCCACCTAATTTTTCCTTAAAAAAGTCGGAAAAAATACCAGAAAAAAGGCCATTAGGAATTAAATTACATTGGCAATTATTACCAACTCACAAAATAGAAGGAACAGTCTTCAACGAAATAAAACATCAAGAAATAAAATATAATTTAATTGATACTAAAGCAGTTCATAAATTATTTGCGAGAGTAAAATCAGAAAAAAAAATAATAAAAAAAAAAGAAATGGAAGAAAAAAAAAAAAACCCAGATGAAAAATTAATTACAGTACTAGATAGAAATAGGGCTCAAAATATTGGTATTCTATTGAGATTCCCCATGAGTACACAAGAAATAGTTGATAAAATAAATGTTTTTGATCTTGAAGATATGAGCATAGAATTTCTGCAAAAAGTATTACACATTTTGCCAACAAAAGAAGAAAGCGATGGTATACTGAAAAAATTACAAAATGAAAATATTAAACCAGAGAATTTTAGAGATGTCGAAAGGAAACTTATCCCCTTTGTTAATTTAGATAAATGTCGTCCTAAAATTGAAATTTCTTTATTTTCTTTAAAATATGAAAAAATGATTAATGAAATAAAAAATGATTTATTTGTTTATGATAAAGCTGTAAAAGAAGTAAGATCAAGTGTAAGATTAAGATCTTTATTAAAAGCTGTTTTAAAATGGGGTAATTATGTTAATTATGGTATTAATGACAATGAAGATTTAGTAGCACTAGGATTTACTCTATCATCTGTTTTAAAATTAAGTGAATTTAAATCTTCTGTTGATAGTTCAATTACTTCTTTGCATTATATTACTGTCACCTTATGCATGTATCTACCAAGTTTAAATATGAATTGGTTAGAAAATGATTTGGGAACAGTATTAGTTGCATCGAAAATGTCGTCAGAAGCCGTTGATATTCTTTTAATATCTTTAGATAAAGAAATAAATTTTATTAAAACACAACTGAAATCCAATTACGAAGGTATTTTTAAAGAAAAAATGGAAATTATATTAGAAGACAGTGAAAAAAAATTTTTAAAAGTTCAAAATATGTATGAAGAGACAAAAAAATGTGTATATGAGTTGAGCATTTATTTAGGAGAAGATATGGCAAAGAATGGTAATTTAGAAAATATTTTTATAATATTATCATCTATTGTTGATAATTTTACAAAATGTTACAAAGATATTCTATCTAATCCAAAAAAATATTCCATATTATTAAATGACCCAAACTTATTAGATGATTATTATAGTGTTTTTAGTAAAAAAAAAAATAATTCAAAATTATCGAATATATTAAATAAAACGGTTACAAAAAATGAACAAGTTTTAAAAACAGAAAAAAGTGAATGTAAATTAAAAATTAACAAATCTAAAAGTAGTTTAAAAAATGATAGCAGCAAAAGTGCAATGTTTCAACTTAGAACTCAATTGTTGAATGATATACGAGATAAAGCTGCCTTAAAAAGTTCAAATAAACATTTTATTAGGAGTAACACTGAAAACTTGGATAACCAAAAATGTAAAGAGGATATATCAGAAAATATTAAAGAAAAAGAAGATAATGATAAATATAAATACAATGAACATAATAAAAATAAAACAGAAATTTTTATTAAAAATGCTGATGAAGTATATATAGAAAACTCTTACAAAAAAATAAATGAAAATAAAAGTGTTAATGATAAATTGAATGAAAATAAAGACATTCATGATGAAATACATGAAAATAAAATTACTGATGATAAAATACTTGAGAATAAAAATATTGGTGATATAATAAATGAAAATAAAAATACTGATGATATAATAAATGAAAATAAAAATACTGATGATATAATAAATGAAAATAAAAATACTGATGATATAATAAATGAAAATAATGATATTAATGAAATGAAAAATGAAAATGTTCATAAAATATGTAAATCTTAAAATAATAAAGATTAAATAATTATTTGAAGAATAACATAAAAAGAGTGAAAAAAAAAAAAAAAAAAAAAAAAAAAAAAAAGTAATAATCTCCAAATTGGTATAATTTAATATTTTTATAACGCTTTTCTTTAATCTCAAAATGTATAGAACAAGACATTTTTTTTTTTTTTTTTTTTATGCAATTAAAAATATATATGAACATGTTGAGTTCTATATATTAAAAATAAAAATATAAAAACAGAATACAAGTAGAAGATATTTATTATTTAGTTAAAGCAAAAATTTTGTAAATTTAATATCATAACATGATGGAGTACATTACTTTTTCAATGGATATAATTGGTACGCCTAAAAAATTATGATATTAAAGTGCAGATGTTATTAGTATTATTACATTATTTAATAGATAAAATAATTAAAAAAAATTATGAAGATAATTTTTTTTAATAGAACCATTTGTTTAAATTAAAGTTTTAAGTTATTAATAAATTGTCTATATTTAATTCCTTATATTAATTTGTTTAAGAATTAAGGAAATAAAAAAAAAAAAAAAAAAAAAAAAAAAAAATATTAAAATAAATATAATTAATTATATATTATGTATTTTTACATAATTTATTTATATTACATATCTAAATTTTTTATTGTAAAATTAGCTTTTTTTATCTTCAATTTGTTGCATAAATTTCATTTAAAAAAAAAAAAAAATTTTAAATATATGTATACTTTTTTATTATGAATTTTCTATTTTTGTTTGTGTATTTTTGAAGGAAGTATTTAGTTTATCTTTTTTCATATTTTCTACTTTTACAACTTTTTTTTTTGTTTTCTAATAAGATAAAAGACTCTTTAAAATTTTTATAGTTTTACTTTTATTTTTGTTAGGAATTAATTTTTATTTTTTTAAAATTTTTAACTATTTAATATTGTTTATTGTCATATTTGTATAAAATACAATTTTTTTTTCTAAATATAACAAGAAGTATTTTTTTCAAAAAAAAACTAAAATCATATTTTTATTATTTAAATTTTAACAAATAGCAAAGAATAGAAATAAAGATTTTGAAACATAAAGTAAAGACTTAAAATTTTTTTTTTAAAAAATACATATATTTTAATAGATTTAGGTATAATCTTTTTAATATATATATTTAATTATTTCAGCTGTTTTTTTAAAAAAGTGTTTTTAAAGAGATTTTTTTTTTTTTACAAATGTAATAATTAAACTAAATATACTTGTATAATATACCTTTTTTATTTTTATTTTTTTTAATAACCTTTACATTTTACTATTTCATTTTTTTTTTTTTTTTAGTACATACACTTTTAAAAAAATAAATATAAATTTTATCGAAGATTTTTATCTAAAAAATAATTAAGATATTATTATTTTTATAATTTTAATAATGTTATTTGTTGCCCTTTATAATTTTTAAAGTGGAAATAGTTGCATTTTGTGTAAAAAAAAAATTTATATATATTTATATATATATATATATATATATATATATTACATTTATATATATGCACATATTGTTTATAAATAGATCTTACATTTTTGTGAAAGAAAAATAAATATTAAAAATTTTTATGTTAAAAAAATAAGATATATTTAAATTATTATATATTATCTTCAATTTTTAAAGATGTATTTTAATACATTAAAATAAAAATAAAAAAAAAAAAAAAAAATAGCGATAATATGTATAAAGATACATGAAGAAAAAAAAAAAATACTTTACAAAAAATTTTAATATCTGAAGAGATATATAGAAAAAACACTTAAAATATTAATTATATAATTCTTCTCTTATTTTTTTATTTAAAATTTAAAAAAAAAAAATACAGTAGTTTTAGTGTAATTTTTACAAATTTTTGAAATATACATTTTTTTATTTTTTTTTTTTTAATGTTCTAAAACAAAACATAGTAAATTTTGTAATGAAATTTTTTTTTATTTTTTATAATTATTAATCTTATTATTATATAATTTTTTCTAATTTTACCTTTTTCATAGTTTTGTTTTTTACAATTTTTTTTTTTTTTTTATTGAATGTTTATAATTTTTTGTATATAAATAAGTAAATATTAGAAATAATGAATCAAAATAATCCATTATCTGTTGCGCTTGCTGATAATCTGACTAATTATAATATTCAAAATGAATCTTTTCGTTTAGGTAACGTTTCTATTGAAGGTGATAAATATATATGTGTTAAAGAAAATGTAAATGATAATACACAAGTAGTAGTTATAAATTTACATAATAAGACTAATTCTCGTAAATATATGAAAGCTGAAAGTGTTATTATTCATCCAAATGACCCAATACTGGCATTAAGGGGTACTATTAAAAATGTTAATACTGTTTTTTTACAAGTTTTTAATATAGAAACTAAGGAAAAAATATGCTCTCTAAATTTAAATGAATATATGAATTACTGGAAATGGATAAATAATGATACCATTGTTATTGTTTGTGAAAAAAATGTTTATCATTGGAACATAGACATTCATAACTCAAAAAAAAATAAAGATAATAATAATTTAGTAAAAATTTTTGAAAAAGCACAAGTTTTTATTGATAATAATTCACAAATATTGTATTATGCAACAGATAAAGAAATGAAATGGTGTATTTTATGTGGTATATCTACACAAGATCAAGGAAAAAGCATAGATGGTTATATGCAACTTTATTCATGTGAAAAAAAGTTGCATCAAACCATTGAAGGATTTATAGGATGTTTTGGCTCATTTATTTTTGATAATTGGGATATGAAGCCATTGTTTTGTTTTATTGAAAAAAAAAAAAACTCAAATATATCAAGGTTGCATTTAATGGATATATATAGTAACAAGACTGAAGGAAATATACCATATAAAGTTGTTAAAGAAATTAATTTAGTGAATGAAAATTTAAATGATTTTCCTATTTACATCAATATGAATACTTTACAAGGGTTGATTTATGTTGTTACTAAATGTAGTTATGTATATATATTTGATGAAGGTACATTAAGTTTAATTATAAAAGAAAAAATTAGCGAGGATAATATTTTTATATGTTGTGAAAGTAAAAATGGAGAAGGTATTTATGCAGTAAATAAAAAAGGAAAAATTTATTACATTACAATAAATTACTTACATTTAATAAATTATTTGAAATTATCCAATATAGAATTTAAGGACAAAATTATAAAGAATTTATGTTATAAGTATGGATATCCAGGATGTGATTATATATCAGCATATAAAAAATGTATTAATGAAATGGATTTCAAAAAAGCATCAAAAATTATATGTTTAATGAAGAATCCTAAAATTTATGAAGAATATTCTAATTCCATATCAGAAGCCATTTTAATTATGAATAAAAAAAATGTAGATATTAGAATTATTCCACCTTTAAGAACACAACAAGTGCTTAATAGCTTTAAGTCATTTAAAAATACCTCAGGTCAACTATCTCCCCTTCTTCTCTATTTCTCCGTTTTATTAGAATATGACAAATTAAATTCTTATGAATCTATTGAATTAGTAAAACCTGTTGTTTTACAAAAAAAAAAGGAATATTTAGAAAAATGGATAAAAGATGACAAATTAACGTACTCAGAAGAATTGGGAGATTTAGTTAAAGTGTTAGATTTACGTTTAGCATTAAATATTTATTTAAGATGTGATTCACATAATAAGATAGTTTCTACTTATTGTCTTTTAAATATGTTTAATAATGTATTGAGTTATACAAATAATTTTAAACAGTTTAACTTTGATTATGTCAATATATTTATTGATATAATTAATTATGATTTCTCATCTGTTAATGATAAGGATGCAAGTTCTTCAGGGGATTTAAGTAACTCATCAAAAAATGAGACGATGGATTTCTTTAATGATAGTGGCAATTCTAATGATAACAAACTTAACAAAAGCAGTAATAGTGAAATAGCTGTTCATTACATAAAATTTTTATGTGAAAATAATATTCAATTTGATATAAATAGCATAGTTGATTATTTATTGAGTAAAAAAAGATTACAAGAAGCTACATCCTTATTATTAGATTATTTAAAAGATAATAAACCAGAACATAAAAATTTGCAAACAAAACTGTTTGAATTTAACTTATATAACAATGTTCAAGTAGCAGAAACTTTATTTCAAATGGATATTTTTACATATTATGATAAAAATAAAATAGCTTATTTATGTGAAGAAAAAGGGTTATATCAAAGGGCATTAGAGAATTATACCAATTTAAATGATATAAAAAGAGTTATTAATAAATCTACCTGCTTTCAAAAAAATGGAAGTATTAATAATACATTTGATAATAATAATACTTCAATAAATAAAGGAATATCTCTTGAATGGATAAAAAATTATTTTTCTACACTAAGTGATACCGTCTGTCAGGATATATTATTTGACTTAATGAAAGGTAATAAAGTAAATATGGATGTTATTATTTCTATTTGTGTACAATATTATAATAAAATAGGAATAAAAAAAATTATTAACAAATTTGAAGAAAATAAAAATTATGAAGGGATTTTTTATTTTGTTAGTTCTATTTTAAATGAATTACCGAATTTAACAAATAATAGTAATGACGATTTATCATCAAATAATAACACATTATCTTATAATAATATAAATGACGTTAATTCTTCCATCTTACTTACTTCTGAAATTACAACACCATATAAACAGACAAATTATAATTTAAAAGTTGAAGATGTTCATTATATTATGTTTAAATATATCGAAGCATGTGTAAAAATAAATAATATTCAAGAATTGGATAGAATTTGTAAAGATAAAAATGCTAAATACAATCCTGAACAAATAAAAAACTTTCTAAAAGAATGTAAGTTATCAGATCCACGCCCATTAATATATGTATGTGATATTCATAATTATATTGAAGAATTAGCGGAATATTTATATAGAAATAGTTTGTTAAAATACATTGAAGTATATGTGTTAAAAGTTAATCCTAATAATGCGCATAAAGTTATAGGAGTTTTATTAGACTTAGATGCTTCTGAAGATTTTCTTTTAAATATACTTAATAATATAAAAAATATATCCAATATAGGAAATTTAATAGAGATAGCAGAAAAAAGAAATAGACTTAAACTATTGCTTCCATGGCTTGAAAGTAGAGCAAATGAAGGTTATGAGAATATTGAATTACACAATGCTTTAGCTAAGATATATATAGATTTAAATAAGGATCCAGAGAATTTTTTAAAAAACAATAATTTTTATGATAAGAAAATGATAGGTAAGTATTGTGAGGATTTAGATCCGCATTTAGCATATACTGCTTATGAAAGATCTAATGGAGAATGTGATGAGGAACTTATTAATATAACAAGTAAAAATGGGCTTTTTAAATTACAAGCAAGATATTTAGTTTCAAGACAATCTATTGAACTTTGGAAGATAGTCTTAGATGAATCAAATAAATATAGAAAAAATGTGATTGATCAAGTTATAGGATCAACACTCATTGAATCAAATAATGCAGAAGAAATAACTGTAACTGTAAAAGCATTTATTGAAAAAAAGTTAAGTAGCGAATTAATTGAATTATTAGAGAAAATAGTTTTGCATAATAGTGAATTTAGTGATAATAAAAATTTACAAAATCTTTTAATATTAACTGCTATAAAATCAGATTCAGATAAGGTTATGGAATATATTAATCGTCTTGATAATTTTTCAGGTCCTCAAATCGCTTCTATTGCTTATGATTACAAATTAAGAGAAGAAGCATTTGTTATTTATAAAAAATTTAATTGCTATACTTCTGCTATTTCAGTTTTACTAGATAGTATTTTATATGATAATATAAAAAATAGAAACATAAATGAATTATCTAATGATACTAGTTCATATAATAATAATAAAGAAAATATGTTTTTAAGAAAAAATGATAATGATAATGACAATGATGAATATTTAAATCATTTTGCTGAATATGATTACCGAGATAAAAATGAAAACTACAGTAACAATGAATTAATAAGTAAAAATAACATAAATTTTGATCAAAGTAATGATAATAAGCTACCTAGCGATACTTTTAATAATTATGATGACGATGAAGAAAATAAATCCACATTTAATGTAACAAATTATGAAGACGATTTGAATAGAGCAATTGAATTTGCACAAAAATGTAATAATAGCGATGTGTGGTTTATATTAGGTAAGGCACAGTTGAAATTAAATAAAATTATTGATGCTATTGATAGCTTTGTAAAGTCAAATAATCCAGAAGCTTATAAAGAAGTGATAGAAAAATGCATACAAAATAATTATTATGAACATTTAATAACTTATTTAAATACACTAAGAGAACAAAATTCATTGAAAGATGTTTTAGTAGACTCTGAACTTTTATATGCATATGCAAAATTAAAAAAAACAACAGAAATGACAAAATTTATTAACAGTACTAATTCAGCCAACTTACAACTTATAGGTGATAGACTATATAAAGAACAAGAATATGAAGTAGCTAAAATTCTATATAGTAACATTCCTAACAATCAGAAATTAACTATTTGTTATTTAAGGTTAAAAGAATATTCTTTAGCTATAGAAGCAGCTAAAAAAGCAAAAAGTCTGAAAACATGGAAAGAAGTAAATTTTATTTGCGTGAAAGAAAAGCAACTAAAATATGCACACACTGCCGGTTTACAATTAATTATGCATGCAGATCATTTAGATGAAATTATTAAAATTTATGAAAAAAAAAAATATATAAATGAATTAATGAGCTTATTAGAAAATGGATTAAATAATGAAAGAGCACATGTTGGTATATATACGGAATTAGGTATTTTGTATGCAAAATATAAACCTGAAAAATTAATGGAATTCATAAGAAATTATGCTAATAAAATTAATACTAGAAAATTAATTGATGTTTGTCAAAATGAATATTTATTAAAAGAAGCTGTATATTTATATATATCTTATGATGAATATAATTTAGCTGTAGATACTATCATTAAACACTCACCTACTGCTTACACACCCGATACTTTTATGCAAGTTATTCATAAAGTAACAAACAGCGATATTATACATAAAGTTATAGATTTTTATATTGAAGAACATCCATTAAGTTTATATAACTTGTTAAAAATTTTAGAAAATAAAATTGATAATAATAGGTTAGTTCAAACGTTAAAAAAATCTAATAATTTGCCATTAATACAAAAATATTTAGAAGATATACAAGCCCAAAACATTACAGCTGTTAACGAAACATTAAATGAAATTTATTTGCAAAATGATGATTATATCAGTTTAAGAAATTCTATTGACGAATATGATAATTTTAACCAAATGAATTTGATTAATAAGTTAGAAAATCATAAACTTCCAGAAATGAGAAGAATTGCTTCTCTATTATATAAAAAAAACAAAAAGTACAAAGAAGCAATTAATTTATCAAAAAAAGAAGAACAGTATAAGGATGCAATTGAAATAGCTAGAGTATCAAAAAATAATACATATATAGAAGACTTAATAAATTATTTTATTGAAATCAACAATAAAGAAGCATTTTGTGCTTGTTTAATTGTTTGTTATGACTTGTTAAAACCAGATTATATTTTAGAGATTATATGGTCTAGTGGTTTTACTGATCAAGCTATGCTGTACTTCATTCAAATTGTTAGTGATTACACAAATCAAATAGACATTATGAAAAAACAAATAGAAGATATGCAAAAAGAAAAAAAGATGAATAAATCAGCTCCAAATGACTATTCTGCTACCTCAATATCAAATCAATTTAATTATTCTCTAAACAATAATTTATCTATTATGCCACCTCAAAATAATTATATGTCAAATAATTCTCAATTTGATAAGTATGACATGTTTAATAATAATACAAACTTTTAAAATAGAAATTAGTAAACATAAATTAAAACATAATACTTTATAATTAAAAAAAAAAATAGTAAAATAAAATAATAATAAACAAATAATTTTTAATATTATTATATATTTATAAATGTATATATATTTTAAAGCTATTACATTATACGAAATTTTTTTTTTTTTTTTTTTTTTGTTCATATACACTTTATAAAAAAGTAAAAAAATAGACGTAAAAAAAAAAAATTTATAAAAAAATAGTTTTTTGAGGATTTTTATCTTTACATTAAAATGTTTAATATTCTATTCTGTTAAATTTCGTTTTTTTTTTTTTTTTTTTTTTTTTTATATGTAGGTATACAGTTTTATTCTTTTTTTATATAATTTTTTTAATCAAACCTAAATATTCAATACATTATAAAATACTAAATATGCAATAAAAATAATAATACAAAACAAATATATAAAAAAGCATTAAATAGTTTATTTAATTGTTTTTTTTTTTTTTTTTTTTAATGTGAAAATTCTACATTTATTTCTTTTTTAAATATTTTCATTATTATATCATTAAATACGGAAATCAAAAAATTTCAAAACATTTATTTTTATTTTGTTAAAACTAGTAAAATGTAATAATTTTTATTAAGATTATATTCAAATTATATTATTAAAACATTCCAAATAAATATATTTTTTTTTTACTTTTGCCATGTAGAAAATAAAATATATAGTTTTTTGCAAACTAATATAAAAGGGGATATTTATATATATGTGAAAAATGTGTGATTAATAGAAATATTCTTATTTTTTTTTATATTTAATAAAGAAAAAAAAAGTGCAAATAAATAATCATATAAAAAAAAAAAAAAAAAAAAATTAATAATAGATTCAAGATTTTACAAAATGATGAGAAAAGAAAGATAAAAAAAAGAGAAAACTTAATCATATTTACCAAAATTTCAAAAAAAAAAAAATAATAAAATAAAAAATATGTACGTAGTCACATTTATAAGATGAATTAAATGTAAAATGTTTAAATGTATGATTCTTTAATTAATGTCTTAATGAAAATACATTAAAATTATATAAAAACAAAAAATATTGTTTATATCATTTTGTCTTGTTTTCTAATTAATTGTATGCAAGCTGGGTCGGCTTCACTAAATGCGTATCCAAGTGATTTTGATTTTTCATTTTTCTATAAATAAAAAAATATAAATAATAAAAGACATATAATATTTTTTCATATATTTGAATATGTTAGACAAAAATAAAGTAAATATTTAAATTAATTTTTTTCTATATTTTTACATATGTTTTATTTTCAAAATTATCTGGGATAATTTGTTCCAGAAAGTTAGATGTACCTTCCTGTGTATCTTCCTGAAAAAATAAAAATTGGTAAAAAATCTTAATATAAGTTTATGAAACTTTTTTTTTTTTTTTTTTTTTTTTTTTACATGATCTTGTAATATATGATAAACTTCTGGATTAAAATTTCTTTTATAAACTTTAAAAATATAATCTCTTGATAATGCAACAAATAAACTTAATAGAGAAACTAGCCAAAAACGAAGTGATCGAACTAAATAAATCACAGTTCCTAATATATGACTACTTCCGAAATACATAAAGGAAAAAGAAGTAACTAAAAGAAGAAATGAAAATATGCTTAAAGAAACAGCAATTATAGGTAACATATTTAAATAATAGGTTTCTAACAAAATTTTTAAATTAACAACCAAAACTGTTAAAAAAAAAGTAACACATCCAACTGTCCATATATCATAGGGTATTCCATCAAGACTTGGAATATTATAATAAGATAAAAAATATAAAGGTATTAAAAAAACAACACTACCATGAAAAAGACTATTCATAACCCATGAAACAAAAGTATTAATATTAAAATAATAATGATAAATGCCTAATTTATACAAAACGGGTTTCTCTAATGCTGTATTTAAATTAATATCTTGATCTAATATGGCAAAAATTATAACAGGAATTGAAGTAAAAAATACATTATATACTTGCAATAAAAATTCATAATATATTTTTTGTCCTGAATACAATGAGAGAGAACCAAATATAAATAACGGAAAAATTAAAACAATATTTTTATAAAACATATATACCACTAGTTTACTTATTCTTCTATACGATAACCTACCATGCACTAATAATAAATTTTTCAAAAAGCGAAATTGGCTAATACCATAATCAGAGGAATTAAATGCTTGAACTCCTTCTTGTCCTCTGATTCCAATTCCTATATTAGCTCTGTTAATCATATTACGATCATTTGCTCCATCTCCTATTGCCAAAGTAATTTTTTTTAATAATCTGTTTGCAGATGATACAATAGCTCCTTTCTGATATGGGCTAACTCTACCACAAATAACGGAAGTGCACTTATCTGCTAAATAAAAAAATTTTTTTTCAAATTTTTTACTTAATAGTATATCAATAACATTCCCATCAACAACTAGAACATGACTGAATGAGCTCGTTAGCGTCTTATAATTATCTGGTTTTATTGATAAAGAATTTTTTTTTTTTCTGAAAAAAATATTTTTACAAAAATTGTTCTTAAAAATTTTTTTTGTATTATCGTCATTATCATCAAAATCATAGTGTGGTAAATTTAAAGACTTTTCAGCTTTCAAAATATCTTCGTCTAATTTTTTCATCAATTCGTTTTCACTCGATATGTAATCTTCTGTATATACATACTGTACTGAATAATTATCTATTAAATTTGCTGCAATCCCGATATTCATTGCTGTTTCAATTTTATCACCAGTTAACATCCATATATGAATTCCGGCAATTCTTAAATCTTCAATAGTAGAGCTAACTCCTTCTTGTAGTTTATCTTCTATACCTGTAACACCTTGTAATATTAAATCATTTTCAATAAATGAAGCTACATGTTCTAAATTTCTTTCCCTATCTTTTATACTAAGAGATGCCTCCTTATATAATTCATACCATTTTGCAAATGTCTCTTCGCTTAACTCTCTTTGTGCAATGCATAAAGTTCTTAATCCTTCATCAGCATATGCTTCCATATGTTCAATAGTTATATCATCCACTTTTGTCTTTTTTGCTAACTTTTTTAATATAACACTTCCAGCACCCTTACAAAATAACATTATTTTAGATTTCTTGCTATTTTTACAGTTACATGTTTCACTAACATTATTATTATCAGCTAATTTTGAATTAGATGTTGCATCATTTTTTATAATGAAATCATTATTTTCTCTTTTGTGTATATTTTTTTCGTTAAATGCTTTACCATAATTTTTTACTCTCTCATAGGTATTAGAATTATTATTATTATTATTATTATTACTGCTATTAAAATCATTATTATTGCCATGATTACAACAACTAAATATAGGTATTCTACAAATAATACTACTCATTTTTCTTTGACTTGTAAATTCAATAGATGCTAATGTATCAATCTCATATATTTTTCCAAATATACTTATTCCATATTTTCCATCCTTTCTATATAAAAAAGTAATGTCAAAATGTTTTGCTGCATTTACTAATGCTTCTTCATCTGGGCTACTTGATGAATATGTATTAACGCCATCTTTTCCCCTTTCACAAATAACTGAGTGATTAATAGCTAAATGAAGAAAGAAGCTAATTAAATGAGCATGGTTAAAATGATTTATATCATGCAAATGATCTACCAAGTTGCTATCTACAATATTTACATTAGATGTTTTCTTTTTTGATTTCATAACAGGTTCATCAGGAATTTCTAAATTTTTTTTTTTCAAAATATTTTTTTTAATTTCTGTTAATCCTTTTCCATATGAAATACCATTAACTGCGCATTTTTTAAATTCCATAATATTGCAAGTTAATGTTCCTGTTTTATCTGAAAAAATATATTCTATTTGTCCTAACTCTTCAATTAAGCTAGATGTTCTAGGTACAGCATTAAAATATATATAATTTTTTTCTTTGATTTCTTGAGATTTATTAATTTTTGATAACTCATTTTTTTGAACATTTGTCATTAAACTATTGGAAGATTCCAAATCCTTATTTAATAAATTACTTTTATAATTTTTATCTTGTTTACTTTGGTTGTCTGATATTTTTAATAGGTTATTTGTTACTTTATTTTTCTGCTTTTCATTTAAGTCATAGGAATTTTCCTCTTTTACACTTGAAATTTCCTTTTGTTCTCCAAAAGGATTATCCGTTTGAACCTTATGAATCATATTTTTATCACAAGATATGAAATACGCTTGAACAACTTTAACGAAACTCATAGTAACAATTAAACTTATAGGAACAAAATTACCAGTTATAACTATCCATGAAAAAAAAGATATAACACCAACAACAATTGGTGTTTTTTCTTTTTCTAAATTAAAAGGTAAATATGGAAACTTCTTTTTTCTTGATGAGCTCACAATCATAGCGTTATAATATGCTGATATAAAACAAATAATCATTTGAATAAACCAAATGATTATGGTCATTCTATTCGTTAACCTTTCTAGTTTACTTGTTTTCCTAATTGGTTTGGTGGAATTCATTTGTATTTTTGTTTCTTTTCCGGTATATATAACTATTCCAATTATCCAATCTGTATTTTTTAATTTACACCCTCTTAATACAAACTGTTTCGAATCAAAAGGTATTTTTAAATAATTATCTGTATTTATTTTTTTTAAAGTTTCCGTTCTACTAATTGTTTTGCTATTCATATTACTTACTTTGCTGCCATTTTTGCTTACATCTGAACTTGAAATTCGTTTTTTTCGTGATTCTATTTGTTCAGTATTACTTTGTAATATTTCATTTAAGTCATTATCTAACACATTCACTTTTTCATCTTTTAAAAAATAAATTGTACCATACATAGTTGATAAATCTTTATTAGGAATATCACTCAAAATAAAACCCTTTATTTGTTTTACTTTTTGAATTGCCTCGGTTCTATCAGAACTCAAAATATTAAATAGAAATCCATTTGCTTCTTTAACTTTTAAATTGGTTTCTCCATCCAAGCTTGATGTTTCAACAAACGCTATTCCGTTTTTATCACTAGTACATAGTAGTAATATATCTGCACAAAAAAATTCTGACTTCCTACATAAAATTATATCACCAACAGTTATATCTTTCCATCTTTTTTTAATAGTTCCTTCAATATTTTCAAAGCTATCTTCATAATTTTTCATGAAATCATTTACATCAGATCTATCTTCAGTAAATGCTCCCTCATCTATACTACTTTCAGTACTCCTTACTTTTTTTTTTTTTCTTGTAAGAAAATTCCATAATTTACATGATTTTTTTTTTTCATTCTTCTTATTATTATAATCTACGTTTGTTTCATCATTTGTTATAACATAACATATCCTATTATTTTCTATTTTATCAGTTTTATGTCTATTCCAGTCTTCATATGCATCTTTAATAGCATTAGCGATTAGAACAATTAACAATGGGAAAAAGACAGTTGGTATTCCGTTAGTAGCTGTAAATTGAGGTATTGCTTGTAAAATACCGATAAAGAAAAAATAAACATTTGATATTTTATGAAATTGCTCATATATATTTAAAAATATAAAATTAAAAATGGTATATTTTGATGTTATAACAGAATTATTGCAATGTTTTTTATTTGCACTATTAATATTTATTTTAATTTCATCTGGTCCTCTATAAAAAATAAAATAAAAAATATGAAATATATAAAGTTTGATGTCTTATAAATTTATAAAGTATTCTTATTATTATTTAAATGGTATATTAAAAAAAAAACTTATAATCATTAAAAAAACAATAAAAAGCTTAAAAAAATATTTTATTAACTAAAAAGGTGATATATATATTATTAAATACACATGTATAACTATCTATAACATTCAGGACAACAATTAAAAAAAACGACAAAATTTATTAGTATACTTTTATTAACAATTTATTTCTATTTATTCTAGTTTAATGTTATATTTTAGTATGCTATTTCCATTAATTCTATTTTTATTTTATTTCATATTATTTTAGTATATTTTAATTAAATATATTCCATCATTAATTTTTAATATATTTTACTATATTTTATTTAAAAAATTATACTTTAATTTCTTTTTTCTATTTTATTTTTTTTTTCATTTTCATTGTCTCATTTTAGTATTTTTGTAGATTTTTTTTTTTTTTTTTTTTAAATGCTTATAAAACTTAATTTTGTACATAGTATGAAGAAATAAACTATTTTATTTATGTTTTTTTCTGTAAATATAATACTATATAACTAAAACATTCATATTAATTATATTTCTCAATATTTGAGTATATTATAAAAAACATATATAAAAATATTAACGATTGATAAGCATATATATGTTAATATAAAAACAACTGTAAAATATTTTTTATATAAAAGATATTAAATTCAAATTTTAGTAATATCTTACTCATTGTTTCTTTTAAATAGTTTTAAGGATTTCCTATAAATTATGGGCATGTTTATTTTTTAGTATTTTATTTATTATCAAAACTTTTAATTTTACTATATTTTATGTAAATATAAATGTTCAGTGCATTTTTTTTAAAAATTATATGTAAAATTAACAAATGTACTTAGAAAAATAAAAAACTTTTATTATTAGCAAAAATTTTATTTTGTTTTGAATTAGTATATTAATTTAAAATTTGAAGAAATTTTAAATTAAAAATTAAACAAAAATGTAAAGAAAAAAAAAAAAAAAATATTTAACTATATTAAAACTTCAAATTTAGCATTAAAATTTTTATAAAAATATGTGTATTTAAACGATATCTATATGAAAAATATTATAGAGATAAAGATAATTTCATTCATATAAATACAATTATAAAAAACAAAATAATTAATTATAAGAGATTTAAATAAATTACTAAAAATGACATTAAGACAATTTCATTCTAGAAATTAGTAATTTCTAATTTTTTTTTTCTAGCAATATTTTGTTTTAAAAAGGTAAAATAACTAAATTACATATAAAAATCTCTAATTTTTAAATGTATTAGAAATTTATAATATATTTTTGTAAATATGAAAACTTTCATATTTTTTAATACTTAAAATGTTAACTTTTCATTTATAATAAATGAATGTATTAAAATAGTCTTCATAAAAAAGAAATCAATTTTTTTCTTTAAATTCAATTATATAATATATAAGATAAAATTTTTTTAAAAAGATTGGTTCCTTATATTTATAAATATATGAATGAAAGAAAAATAAAATGAAAAAAGCATATTTATTATATATATATATATATAATTACTTTATTAATTTTACTTATTTCTTTACAATAATATTCTACTTCTTTTTTTTTAATAATAATTCTTAAAATTATGATTTTTTTTTTTTTTTTTTATTATTCGGATTTAATTACTATGAAAATATTAACCTGGTTCAAAGTTATTGTTAGTTTTATTTTTTAAAAAAATAATTTCTATGAAACATTTAGGAGTGTTTATTAAAGACCAAATCATAAAAATTTTCTTAAAAAAATAATTTTTTTAATATAACAAAATTATGCACACACACCTTCACACATAGTATTTAGCTTATTTAGAATATTGAACTTATTCTTAAGTGTATTTAAAATTAATGATAAAAATTATTTTTATTTATTCACCTAAATGTACTTGGTAATAACTAGCAAACTATATTATTATTTATAATTTTAGATTAATTTAAATTCTAAAAAAAATATTTTTCTGTAGAATGTATTATTTATTTTTAAATATATTTAATAACTGTCTTTTTTATAATCCTAAATATTCATACATGTAGTAAATATTATATTTATTATTTTTTTAATTTTATTATATATTTACAACAAATGATAATTTTTTTTATATTGTTTACTTAACAAAGAGAAAATATATAAAAAAAAAAATATATTCTATTCAGTCCTTCAAAACTCCTTATGTAGAAACTTTTTACATAGAATTGTATTATAGAATATTATTATTTACTTAAGATTTTTTTAATGATATACTCATAATTTCTACTTATCCAACAAATAAAGGAACTTTTTCTTTCATATTTATGTTGTGTATTTTCATTTTTAGGTAAATTTCTGTTTTACAAATAAAAAATTTTTACTGATATAAAAATAATCTATAATTCCTTTTTATAGTTTTCTATTATTATAAAAATAATGAAATTAATGTACCTACATATTATGAAAAAAGATTTATCCTTTTAATATAATTAAACTTAAATCATGATAATAAACTAAAATATGATGAAATATAATACAATTACAAAAATATATATATATATATATATATTATATTTAATAAAAAGAAAACCAAAGTATATTAAATATAAATTATTTATAGTTTATATATATAATTTTTTTATCTAGTACAAATAACTATAGAAAAAAAAGAAAAAAAAAAAAGTTCATCCTTCTATTAGACACCAGTTATATCCTACAATTTTCATATTGTTAATTTGAGCAATAGAATAAGAAGATTCATAATTGTTAAATTTTACTCTAGTGATATAATTCTCACCTCTATAAATAGGTATACCAGTAATATTTTCTTTATATTCTTCTTTTATTAATAAAATAATAAAACTAATTCTGTGTAAACCAGTACCTTTTTTAATAGATGGGCCTATATATGGTAATAAGGTAATACAATTTTCTCCTGTTCCCTTTTTTAATTCTTTTGATTTTATACCAGATATAACCCAATGAGCATATTCTTTTCCTTCAGGTTTTTTTCTAGAGGGATAATCAGGGTCAACCATAAATAAAACGAAACAAAAACCATCTGGAGGTTCTTCGGAAAATTTCACAATTCTTGGTACAATTCCAGTACCACATAAATCGATTAAATTTCCATTTTTTACTTCTTTTCCTGATTTAAATTGTACAAATAGATCTACAGTTAAGTTAATATTTTCATCAGGAAAAACATGTGGTATAATCTTCTCTTTTTTTAGTTCTTCTATTGTTGGTATCGTCATTTTTTTTAAACGTTAATTTTTTCATAATATATTTTCTTTTTATTTCTTTATTTGGTTCTTCACTTTTTTTTTATAATAAAAACACATTTTTTTAATTATTTTAACAGAAATCATATATATAATTATTTTTATCTTTATTATTTATTTTTTTATTTTTTTTTTTTTTGCTTATTTCTCCTTACAAAACAATTCTCACTTTTTTTCTATTACAAGTTAAAATATTATATGAAAAAACATATGGATATTCTTAAGACAAAAAAAATTTCACTTATTGAAATAAAAAAAAAGTTTTGAATTAAATTATAAAATATTTAAATTTTGAAAAAAAATTAAGAATACTTTTTTATATTTATACACAGTTATGTTTTATTATTTATATTAAATATATAAAAAATACTAATGAAAATTGTAAAATTCTTAAATATGAAAATACTTTTTTTTTTTTAGTAGATTGCTATGAAATTAAAAACTTTAATTCTCTATTATTTATTTTATTCATTTGAATTACATTTCTTGATGAAAAATTTTAGGAATGTAGAATTTTTTTTTTTTAAATATTAATGCAAAGTAGACATATTTAAAAAAAGAAAAGAAAATATATATTGTGTACCTATTTTTACCTTTTTTTTTTTTTTTTTTTTTTTTTTTAAAATTGAATGAATATAATTTGTAAAAGGTACAAAGGACTTATACAAGTTAAAGAATGTGTCACAAAAAAAAAAAAAAAAAAAAAAAAAAAAAGTCTTTGAATTAAATTGGGGAAATTGTTATTATTAAAATACTTTAATAAAATGAATTTTTTATTATAAATATAAAAATTTTATAAAATTACTATTTACATCTTCTTACTTTTAATTTATAGAATATACTTTTTTTTTTTCTTGATATTTTAGGTAAACAAAATTGTTCTTAATATTATGAATAGCTACACATATGATTTAATCTATTTTTTAAACATATTTGCATGCACTGCATTATGAGTTTTACTTGTTTTTTCTTTTTAGTTTTTCATCTCTCTCTTCATTTTTGACCATTTTATAATTTGTATAACATTTTTATCAAATATAAATATGCATATCTGTTTATATGTATAATTTATATATACATTTATACCAATCTATTTATATATATGAATATATGTAGATAGATTCAAAAGTATATATGTATATATAAAAAATTATATAAATTGATACATGTATATGATTTTTTTCACCTAAAAAAAAACTTATCTATAATGAATGTTGTTTTAAAATTAATTGACAATTTTATATTACATGCTTAAAAATTTGAAAGAAATAAAATTTAAAATATCATTTTTTTTTTATATTTATCATAGTTGTCTAATGTTCATTTTCCAAATGCTCACATTAAATTTCTTAAATATACTTAATTATTTCTTTAAATGATTATTACGCAATTTTCCTTTATTTAAAATTTAAAAATATTCAAATTTTAAATTTTTTAAAAAAATTATTTTATAATACTTTTTTGTAAATTCTACATATTGTGGATAGTGAATAACATTTATGTTTATCATATTATATGGAAAACTTTTTTTTTTAATAAATGTCAAAATTTTTATTTTTCTATATTATATATATTTACTTTTTTTTTGTTTTATTTTATTTTTTTTTATAAAAATAAAAAATATTCAATATACTTCTATTATGAAAAAAAAGAAAAAAAACTTATAATTTGATTACCTTTTCTTTAAATTTTGCTTAAATTTTGAACGTGAAAGCAAAATATATTTAATAAAAATAGTATAAATTGTACATTTTTTAAACATGTTACAATAATATAAAAAAAGTAAATTAAATAGATAAAAACAAAATATATATATACATATATATTATATATATATATATATATTTATGAAAATGAATGACGATTTAGAAGCTCTAGTTAGAAAACCATCCACAGAAAAGGATACCGATAATTGTTTAAATGTTCGCTTATATTTAATACAAATCCTATTTATATTTATAGTTTGCTTTGTTATTTTTGTTTTTTTCTTTATATTATTTTTTTTAGGTGTTTTTTAATCACTAGAATTAATATTATTGTTTTTATTATGCATCAGTAAAAGAACTATTTTTTATTTTTTTATGATACGAATAATTTAGTGCAAATAATTTTTTTTATATTATATTTTAAAAATAAATTGTTTTAAAATGTAGTGCTATATAGATATATAAGAATAAAAATTCAAATAAATATATACATGAATTTATACTAGTTATTTTTCTAAATATTATTGCAATTGTTATATATGCATATATATATATATTATATATGTATATATATACATAATTATAAATATTTATTATATATAAAAAAAAAATATAAAGTTTACATCTATAAAAGATATTAGAATACTTAGAAATTACGTATATACAGAGTTAATAATTCAAGTCTTTCAGAATTTATTATTATTATTTATTCGATATTTCTAACAGTTTACCTAAATTAAAAATTCATAAATTCTTTTTAAACATTATGAAAATCAACTTTTTGAAATAATATAAAGAAAACACTTCCACTAGATATAAATATTTAAAAAATAAATAAATATATATGAATCAAATTAATGAAAAAGAATTGTATATATTAAATAAAATGCAAAATAAATTTAATGAGGAATTAACTGTTTGAAGATATAAAATTTTTTGATTTATTTATAAAAAAGTGTTAAAGAGATATATTTTTCATTTTTGTTAAAATTTATTATTTTATTTTTTTTTTTTTTTTTTGAAATGAAACTATTTTGTACACAAATTTTATATACACTGATTTAAAAAAATATTTGTTTTTTGTTATAACTATTCATATATATTCAAGTGTATATTTATCATATAGATTTTAATAATAGATATATATATATATATATATATACATAAATATATATACATCAATATATTAAAAATGTTTTATTAGAATATTCTTATGCATATAAATATATACTATTTCAATTTTGTAATTTTTGAAAAGAATATATCATTCATTGAATATATAATGTTCTCTCTTAAAAGTAGGATGCCATTTTAAAAGTGTGTGAAAAATCATTTCGTTTCTTTTTAATTAATTAAAAAAATGTTTTTGTGCATATATTTTTTTTTTTTCATCTTAATAAATAAATAAGTATAATTATAAAAAATATAACGATAAATTACATATTCATTTTCTTTTGAAGTCATAAAGGTTTTAGCTCTATTTTTTTTTTTTTATTTTTTTCAGATTTTGCTTCATATCAAATTTTAATATATAGGCCATATATATTTTAATATTTACACGTTCGCTTTTTTCTATAGAATAAATATAATTTTTTTAATAAATGTTCCATAAAGTTAATATCTTAAATTTTTTTTTTTTTTTTTTTTTATTATTCATTCAACATTTTTTTGTTAAATTATTTTTTATAGAGTGAAATCACTGATTATTTAATAAAAAAAAAAAGAAAAAAATAGAAAAAAACAATTTAAGAATACATATATATATTCATATAAACAGAAAATGTGTAAATTAAAAGCCATAATTGCCCCATCGGTCCTTGCGTCTAACATAAGTAAGCTAGCTGAAGAAACACAACGAATGGAAACTTTGGGAGCAGAATGGATCCATTTGGATGTAATGGATATGCATTTTGTTCCTAATTTGTCATTTGGTCCACCAGTAATTAATAACTTAAAAAAATATACCAATAAAATATTCTTTGATGTACATTTAATGGTAGAAAATCCAGAAAAATATGTAGAACTGTTAAAAACATCTAATCAAATTACATTTCACTTTGAATCCTTAAATGAAGATATTAAAAAATGTATAGAATTAGCAAAAGAAATAAGAAATAATAATTTATGGTGTGGAATATCTATAAAGCCAAAAACAGATGTAGAAAAAATTGTCCCTTTACTAGATACTAATTTAATAAATACTGTTTTAATTATGACTGTAGAACCTGGTTTTGGTGGACAGTCATTTATGCATGATATGATGAGCAAAGTTTCATTTCTTAGAAAAAAATATCCCAATTTAAATATTGAAGTTGATGGAGGATTAAATATAGAAACCACTGAAATTGCTGCATCTCATGGTGCCAATATAATTGTTGCAGGAACTAGTATTTTTAATGCGAGTAACCCTAAGTTTGTTATTGATACTATGAGGAATTCTGTACAAAAATATTTACAAAATTAATTTTTTCGTAAATTTGAAAAACCATTATCATATTTTTTAAAAAAGTATATCTAGAAGAATTTTTTTTTTTTTTTTTTTTATTTTATTTTTTTTAAATTATTTTAACTTTTTATAATACTTTTTTTTTTTTTTTTTTTGTTCTATTTTTAATATATTAAGTTATATATATGTGTCATATTATATGTCTATATAAAATTTCACAAGATAAAATGCTGTAACTTTTTACTTTTTTTCTCTTAAGTATGTGTACATTAAGGGAAGATTAACTAAAGAAATAAAATTAAATATTTATCTATAAAATATGTTCTTATAAATAATAATTTGTGAAACGGATAAATAAAAATAAAAAGATGAAAAAGTTCAAAAATAAAAATACGAAAAAGTTTAGTTATTTAAAGAATTATAATTAAGAAAAAATATACATATCTTATTAAATCTTTATTAAAAATATAGATAAAACAGTATAACACTTCTAAACAAAAAAAAAAAAAAAAAAAAAAAAATAAAGAATAATAAAAAATAATAAATAATATAAAAAAAAAAAAATAGAAATAAAATAAAGAAAAAATTATAATATATACAATAATATTTTATATTTTCTTCATAAGACCTTATATGAAAGAATTTTAAATAAGGAAAATTAAACTACATTAAAATTGCATGTTTTCATTAATGCATTTTAGCACTCATGCGCTAAGTTGTTAATTAAATCGGAAATCACTAGATTATAGAATAAAATGTCTATATATTTAAATAGTAAAAAATAAAAATCATACATTTTTATATATCGTTTCTTTATAATTATTTAATACTATTTATTGTATATTGTTGTGTCATATTATTTATTATATTTTATATATATATATATATATATATATATATATATATATATATAGAATTTATTTATTAATCATTTTCTTTATTAATTTATTATTTTCTTTTTTTTTTTTTTATGGATAATATAACTTTGAAGAAAAGACATTTTAAATATTGAAAATCACTTTTTATAATAAATATCTTCATTGGCTTATTTAAAAAAAAGAAAAAAATGATGTTAATCATTTTTCTGTATTTTTTTATATCTATATTTTCTTTTCTTTTTTTTTTCTTTTTTTCAATACCTCTGTTATTGTTGCTTTCACATATTTAAATTATATGGAACAAAATTAGCATTTCTCTCCATATACACATTATGATTTCTAATATGAAATTTACTTTTATAAGTGTCTGTAGTTTCATTAGATTCGTAATTATTATAAGAGGAATTTAACAGTTTATCTACATTTTTTTGTGGAAAGTAATAAATTTTACTTTTATTATTTTTATTTTTCTTATTACTGTTATCATTGTTGTTCATTAGCTTTTTATTATTAATATTATTATTATTATTTAACTTTTTATTTTTTTTAAAATTTTTTGTATTTTGCTTCAACATTTCATTTAATAAATTTGCATTAGCATCATCTGGATTACGCAATATGTGCAAAAGTATATTCAACTTCTCCATATTATTTTTTACTAGTTTTTTCCATTTTTTTGCTGATATTAATACATGATCAGGATGATGACAAAATAAGCAATCATCCCCATTCATACATGTATTTCCATTATAAACATGTGCACATGGTTTACATATTCTTTGTTCATGCTCTAAATTTTGAGAGCATTTTTTATAATGTTTAAATAATTTTTGAACTGAAAAGTTTTTGGATAGACATTTTGTTGTGTTCAAATTGCTTGAACCACATGAATTTAAGATAATATGCTCATTAAATATATTTCCTGTATTTATTTTATTTATGTTACAATCATCTAGAACATCATTTGTTTTGATTAAGTTCATTTTAGTAAAGGAACTAGAAATATCTGAACTGTCAATTGCATCAAAAGTGTATGTTTTTATACTGTCCTGAGGAGACAAAGAATTGTTATCTTCAAAAAAATTATATTCATTATTTACATTTTTTTGTATACCAGCGTGGCCACCTATGGTATATCTTCTTCCTTTCGTTGAACAATAAATGATATTGTTATCCGGAGAAATTGATATACATGCCTGCTCATTTAGTGTTCCATTTTTATTTTCTGCATATATATATATATTATTATTATTAAAAATAATATTGTTTCTTATGTCATTTTCATCGCTATATTTTGGCGGTAACGTTCTAAAATATTTAAACAAGGAATAATCGATATCTTCTATATTTTTTTCTATATTTTCAAATTCTGAAAATCTTTTATTTACAACATATTTTACTTTTCTTGTTGAAAAATCTGCATAATTTGACTCAGTTCTACAAATTTCACTATTTACATCAAAACAATTTTTTTCATCTTCATGCTTTAAATGAATTAATGAGTCATATATTGACTCTTTTTTTTGCAAATATGTATCATAATCTTTATATTTTTCTTCATCCATAACTGTTAAATTTTTGTTTAGATTTTTTTCAGAAAATGAATATTTTGTTATAGGTGAAACTACATTCATTTTTCTTTTTCTCTCTCTACTTTTATTTTTTATATTATTTTATTATAATTTATTTTATTTTATTTTATTTTTTTATTGAATATTAATTAAAGGAGTAACGAATTTAAAAATTAAAAAATTTAAAGAATAAAAAAAGATGTAAAATACAAAAAAAAATATATTATTTCCCTTTTACCATAGCATACACATTTAGACCTCTTAAAATTTTTTTTTTTAAATTATGTGTATGCATTTCTTTAACTATATATATATATATATATATATTTATATAAATATATATATATATATATACATACATATATATATATATACATATATATGTATAATATATATATATTTCTTTTTTTTTTTTTTTTTTTTTGGAATTTACTTATAAAAAACAAAATAATATATTGTATTAAAAGATTATTGGCAAATTTTTAAATACTTGATTAATTGAAGTTTCCCAATTTTTTTTTTTATGTTTTTTTTTTTTTTTTTGGTATGTTTTAGAAAAATTAATTGAATATAATTACAATAATAAAATAAAGATATTTTCAATATTTTTTTATAACATGTTTTACGATATTTTATGAATTTAAATTTATTTAAAATTTTTTTTTTATTAATTAAAATTTACAACATATAGCATTTTTAAACATTTTAGTGACCAAGTTTACGAAAAAAAAAAAAAAAAATAAAGGTGTCTATGACCTCGTAAAATCAGAGTCATCTCAAAAATATTATTAACAAGCTAAAATTATTTAGTATGAATTTTTTTTTTTATTTTTTTTTTTTTTTAAAGAAAATAGCTATTTAACTTTTGTTCTGGAATTATTGCAATTTATCATTGAAGATATAAACATAATTTAAAAACTTATAAAGTATTAATCCATTTTTTAATAAAAGTATATTTCTTCAATTTGAAAATGATTAAAAAAAATATAAATATATATTTATATATTTTGTAAATCTACACACCCAGCCTCCAAAATATTATTATAATAAACATAATATTTAGATATTAATTTTTTGTACAGTGCGTTATAACTTTATATTTTTTTAACATACTTTTTTTTTTATTATGTATGTGAAAAATAATATGAAAATATATTTTAATTAATCATAACTTAAAATATAAAAAATTCCCTTTAAAGGATAGAGAAGATATGTTTATTATAAAATTACATAATAGGTATATTTGTGTTTTATTTATATTGTAAAATTAATTTTTTTTTAAAATACAGTGGTTGTATTTTATTTTTTTTTCAAGTAATAGCTATTATTTTTTAATAAATTGGAATTATTACAATTTTAAATATTATATTTACATATTAATAAAATTGAATTATAAAATATTTTTTCACTAATAAAAACTACTATTATATTTATTATAAATAAAGTTAAAAAGTCAAGATAATTATTCTATAATTTTCAAACGAAAAATTCATTGCTTCTTTTGTAAAGATATTATTAAAAAAGAACAATGAAAAAGAAAAATAAATTCATTTAAGATTAATTAATTTTAACTATAAATAACTTAAATATAATTTATAAGTACATTTAAAATAACAAACTTTTTTTAATTATGATTAACAAATTTTTTTATTTACATATATATATTTACATTAGTGTAATTAAAAATACTAATATTGAGTGATTCTTAAAATGAAAAGTGTTTTACAAAATTAAAAAAGAATATATTTATAATTTATGTTTTTTAATGTAGTCAAAAATTCTATAAAGTTTTAATATAAAAGAAAACTTTTTACAAGCAATTCGCTCATTTAAAATCTTTTTTTATAAAATAAATTTATTATATAATTAAAAAATATTATTGCATATAAACATCTAATTTTTTTTCATTTCGTTAATTATGTTTTAAGATTTATATACGAAAAAAAAAAAAAAAAAAATAAATAAATAATGAAAAGTAATAAATTTTTGTAAAAATTATTATATTAAAGTATGCTTACATACTATTTATTAATTGAAATAATTATTGACCAAAATATATAAATGAATTTTTGAAATCATACATTTTTAAAATAATAAGGGCCATTTATAATGATAAATAACTTAATGAGCATGTCAAGTATTGATATTTTAAATGTTAATTCAAACATGAAACAATATTATTTAAAAAAGAAACTAATATATAAATCAATAATTTATTTACAATTTAATGAATTTTAAGAACAGTTAATATAGTATTACATAAACTATAATGAAATGCAAATTTTATTAAATTTGGTAAAAATAAAGAAAGCTTTCTATTTTATAAAACCTGATGAAAAGCAAATATTGAGTTGTAAGGATTATATTTAAAAGTTTGAAAAGAAAAAATAATTTTAAATCACATTTTTTTTTCTATTGATTCTTTTATAATTAAATTATTTATTTAAAACATTGAAATTTTGCATATATAAAATTATATTTTGTATTCATTTCAAAAGATATGTGCATGAATAAAATATAAAAATCATGGATTTATTAAAAGAGTATGAAGATAATGAAGAATTGGAGATAGAATGTGAAAAAAAATTAAATAATATTGATAGATCAAAAGATACCGAAGAAATTACAAATGATATAAATGAAAAAAGTGATGAGCAAAAAAGCGAAAATAGTAAATTAGCAAATATATCTCCTATAAATATAATAAATTGTGCTCCAGATGTAAATACATTTGATTTAGAAATAAAAAATTATAAAGAAAAATTCAAAAATATAGAAAAAAAAATTGTATTTGACAATTCAGGATTTCATAAAATACTGAGTAAACCACAACAAGGACCAAGTATAAATGAACATTATAACTTTTTAAAAAACGCAAATAAAAATCATTTTAATGGAAGTATAGAACCAACTTATTTAAATAAAAATGTATTTGATTATCAATATAACCAATTTAATGTGATGGGAATAACTGAAAATCCTTCACTAAGAAATTTTTATAGAAGTAATTATGAAAATTTTATAATATCTAAGGATTTTGCTAATGATATAGAAAAGAAAGATGAGTTAACTGTAAAAAGATATAAAAAACAAAAAGTGAAAAATAATGATTATGTTTTAGAAAAATATAAAGGTCCTTGGGAAGATAAGGAAGAAGATACAAAGGGGGATTTGATAAAAGACCATAAAAAAGAAAAAAACACAAAAGATGAAGAAATTAAAAAGGATTTGGCTAATACAGCGAAAAAAAATGTATTTATAAAATTGGAATCTTGTATACTAGAGGAGGCAGTAAAAAAAAATATAATAAAAGAAAAAAACACTATATATGATAACAAAATAATTTCAACATTGCATATAAATGAAGAAAAAGATGATTATTTTAATAAGTCATGGTTTGAATTGCCATCAGAGTATAAAGAAAGAGACTTTATAATTGAAGAAAACTTCCCACCAAAAAAAGAAATTCATGAGTATAAAGGTCACAAAATGGGAGTACAAAAAATTAGATTTTTTCCCAAATATGGGAATTATATTTTGTCTGCATCTTTAGACCATACATTAAAATTGTGGGGTGTATATAAATCGAAAAATTGCATAAGAACATATAAGGGACATTTTAAAGGAGTTAAAGATGTTCTTTTTGATAAGGATGGTACAAATTTTTTAAGTTGTAGTTACGACAATAATGTAATTTATTGGGATACTGAATATGGGAAAATAAAAGGAGTTTATAGTCAAAAAAAAACTCCATATTGTTTATGTCTAAATCATGATGATCCAAATACATTTTTAGTTGGTGGGGCAAATAACAAAATATGCCATTTTGATTTTAGATCTGGAAATATTGAATTAGAATATAATGAACATTTACAAGCAATAAACACAATTACGTTATGTGAAAATAATAAAAAATTGATCAGCACGTCCGATGATAAGAAAATTTTTATTTGGGAATATGGATTACCAGTAGTTGTTAAATATATATCAGACGCTTCCATGTATTCAATAACATCTGTTTCAGTACACCCAAGTAATAATTTTTTTTTATGTCAATCTATGAATAATGTAATAACAGTTTATGAAGCAACAGGAAAATTTCGACTATTTTCAAAAAAGACATTCAAGGGACATAAAAATATTGGTTACTCTATTAATGTTTCATGTAGTAATGATGGAAAATATGTCATCAGTGGAGATAGTAATGGAGGTTTATTTATATGGAATTGGAAAAAAATGTCAAATTTTAAAAATATCAAAGCACACAAAAATGTGTGTATTGATTGTGTATGGCATCCTTTCAAGACATCTATGTTAGCTACAGCTAGCTGGGATTCATCAATTAAATTGTGGGAATAAAAAAAATATAATCTAGTTATTATGAATTTTTTATAATTTTTAAAGTAGATTTATTATATATATTTTTTAAATTCTCAATTTATTTTTTTAATGATATACGCTATATTTTTTTTTTTTTTCTTTTTTTTTTTTTTTTGTTATTATTTTACATTTTGATATCGTTTTTATACTTTAAATATTGTTAATATCATTTCAGAATACAAGAATTGATTGTTTTTATATTACCCTTTATTATTTTTACATTTTCTTGTAGATTTATATATAGAATATTTGATCATATTTTTTGTATATTTTTTTTCGAAAAAATTTTAATATATTATTATTTTTTTTTTAAATTTTAAAAGGAAAAAAATATAAATATAAGAAAATAAAATTATTTAAAACAAACTCAAATTAGTGATAAAAAAAAAAAAATTCACAGAAATGTATTGTAAATTCAAAAATGAAAAGTAATTAACTAAAAAAAAAAAAAGAAGAAATATATAAAATCATTTAAAAACAGTATATATATATATATATATATATATATAAATACTGCTTTACAATAACTCAAGTAACATGAATAAAAGGTATTTTTCAATTAAGAGAAATCTGTAAAAAAAAAAAAAAAAAAAAAAAAGAGTTAGTTGTGTCTAATTATTACAGAATTTAAAAAAGTATACAATTTAAAATAAAGTATGAGTATTTTAAAAGAATAATTAAAAGTGAATGCATAAATAATTTTAAATATAAAAAACATTTCATATATAATGAAGTAATATAATGTATATATAAATATTACATTCATCAAAAAAAGGATTTAAATAATTTAAAATATTTAGATTATCTGTGCGTATTTGGACAAGTGTTGATTTTTTGTATATATAAAAAACTAACAGTAAATGATGTCTTGGTGGTAAAAATATTCCTATAAACTTTTTAATAGGACTATAATTTCTCTTGTTATTATATCTATTTTTATCTATTTTTTTCTTTTTTTCTTTTTTATTCTCGCTTTTTATTAAATTATAATATTTATATAAAGTTAAATGAAGCCTTTTTCGATATATTTCTTTGAATAATTTGTACTTTTCTCTATTTAAGTTTTTCAGTGTAATATATTTTTTGTTTTTAATTCTTTTTCTTATAATTTCCTTATAATTAATAAAAAATTTACCATCTGCTTTATCGTTGATAAAAGAATATTCTTTATTATATAATATTTTCATAGAACACATTTTTTTAGTATTATTTATTAACTTCATTTCTTTTCTACATAGATATTCTTCATTTCTCATATTATTAATAATTATATTTTCTTTGTCTACACTAGTAGAGCAATTATAAAAGCATTTTATCAAATTAAATAATTCTTTTAAGTTCTTTGGATTATAGCATTTGAAAAATAATTTTTTTTTTTTTTTTTTCACTCTTTCTTTATGGATTATTTTTTTAGAATATTTATTTGAATCAGAATCATCTGAATAAAGAGAATAGTTATCAATAAAAAATTCATCAAGTATTTCATGGTTTATTTTTTTTTTTTTTCTATTGTTTTCAATATAATAAGCAGAGTAGTTATCATTTAGGTTATAGTTTTTTTCTGTATGTATATTGTACTTAGATGAATTAAAAATATTCACATTTTTTATATTAGGATTTTCATTAATTATAAAAGGGTGTAGTTTTTCATTAATTACTTGTAAAATATGATGTGATAAACAATTTAGGTACTTAGCTGACTTATACATTTTACAAATTTTATTATTCCATAAATCTTCAAAAATATATTTCCAATATTTATAAGAGGCTTTAAATGGTAAAAAAAAATCATTAAAATTAATTTTATACTTTCCTAAGAAACTTTTAAAAGTTTTTTTTTTTTTATTTAGATAAATTACATATGCATAAAAATATGTTGTAATTAATAATTTTACATCTACTTTAATTAATAATTTATATTGATATAAAATTTCTCTTTTTTTTTTTAAATTAAAATTTTTATTAACGTCTTCTTTTTTTATATAGTATTTCATTCTTTTAAAAAAGTTCTTTTTTAATTTGTATGATATTTTATAATTTTCTTTTTTAATAAAGTCTTTTTTTAAAAATAAAAAATTATTACTACATATTTTATTTCTTATATATTCTTGTTTGTCTATTCTACTAACTTCTATTTTTTTATCTGGTTTTAATTCATTATGTTTTCTTTTATTACTTTTTCTTTTGAAATTTTCGATATAATTATAAATTATATTTTTAACTTTCATCATATAAAATAAATAGCTGTATGAAACGAAATAAAATTTACTATTTTTTAATGTAAAAATTTTACTTCTTTTAAAAAATATATATAGTTTTGTTTTTCTACCTATATGTTTACTATAATTTTGACTTTTTACCTTCATATCATTCTTTATCTTACATACAATATTTTTATTTAAATTACTACTGTATTCTTCATCTATACAATCAGTATTTATATTATAATATTCTTTTTTAATGTTCTTAGAAAATTCAAAATTTGATTTTCTTCTATTGTTATTATTTCTAAAATAATCAGTTTCATTAAGATAAATGGTATTAATTGTTTCCTTTTTATTGTTATTATGAACACAATTTTTTTCAGTTTTCATAATATTCATCACGTTTTTTTTTCCTCTATTGCATTCATTACTACTACTATAATTGTCATAATCATTATTATTTAATTCTATATATGGAATATATACATTATGTATATCAATAAAATCAATCTTATGAACAAAGTAGATATTTAGAAAAAACAATTTTTTATTGTTAATTTTTTTTTTTTTTTTTTTTTTTTTTGATGAACCATTTGTATACTTCAAAATGAATGGAAAATATATATAATGATTATTATTAACAATGTAACTATAATAATTTTTTATATCATAATATTCATCATTATATATACTATAAAATAATTTAGAATTAAAATTACTATCATTATAATATTTATTTAAAAATAACTCCTTTTTATTTTTATTTATTTTTTTATTTTTTTTTTTAGTTACTCTATAATTTTGCATATAAAAAATACTACAACCATTATCATTTAATGCTAGCATGTTTTTTCTATCTAATTTATAAAATTCTAACTTTATAAAATTTGATTTTATATTTTTATTAATAAATTTTAATTCGTTACATTTCATTTCTTCTGTTAATTCATTTATTTCTTTTTTAATATAATTTTTAGAATTTAATGAGGAGCTATTAGTAATATAACAAGAATGCGTATTTTTATTTTTTAATTTGTTGCATTCTAAAAATGATATTTTATTTTCAATTAGATTACTATAATAAGTACTAATTTTATATAAATATGAATTTTTGTTATTTTTAATATTCTCTAAAATACCTAACATATGTATATAATTATTATAAATATTATGATATCGCAATATTCTTTTTACAATTTTAATTATAATCATATAAATTTTTATTGAAAATTTATATTTTTCCAAAACATTATTTAATATTTTTGTAATAAAATTGACATTAGTATATTTTATTTTAACTAAATAAAATAAAAAAACCAAAAAATTCATTATTTTACATCTTGGTTTTAAATTTTCTAAGAATTCTAATATAGCATTTTGAATAAAACTGAATAATTTAATTTCCTTTTTTGTATACAAGTAATTCAAAACAAATAAAATCATATTCATTTCATTCATATTAATTAATAAAGTATCAACAATTATCACTTTTAGTTCATTTTTTAAATTATTAAATTTGTGCAATTTTAATAAATGATAAGAAAATATTAAAAAAACTTTATTATTTATGTGAATTTTATCTTTTGTAGAAGATGAAAAGAGAATATCATCTTTTTTATTTTTGTAATTGTCTTTCAATAAGTAATTAAATGAATTTTTGTTTAAATTTAAGAAACTATCATTACTATTAAAATCATAAAAATATAATTTATTCTTACTTATAATTTTTTTCTTCTTTTTAATAAAATTATTAATAAAATACTTTAAATTTTTTTCAGATAAATTTTTTTGTTTTTTTTCATTTTCGAATAAAATTGATGAATAAATTATATTCTTATTTTTGTATACCTCTTTTTTTTTTTTATCCTTTCCATATAAATATTCTAAAAAATCATTAAGTTCTATAATATAATTATTTTTAAGATTATTAGAGTATTTTTTTTTATACTTATCACTCTTACAATTATAAAGAATTTCCGTGTCTTTTTTAGATGATTTTTTTTCTAAATGAAGATATTTTCTAGAATCACTACTTATTTTTTCTTTATTACATCTATAACAAGTTTTTATTTTTTTTTTAATCACTATATCAATAGAAGCATTATTAAGGATGCTTATAATAGAAACATTCTTTGATGAATTTTCTATTATTTCATAGTTATAATATATATATAAATTTTTATAAATATCTAATAAACTTACTGTTATATTTTTATTTTTTAATAATTTTAAAATAAAATAATATTTTATAATAACTAAATCTTTACAATCTAAAAAATTTGGAAAAAATTCTTTTATATCCTTTTCACATAAATTTACAATATATTTTTTGTTTAAAAAAAAAGAAAAAACATATATTATAAATATTTTACTGATATTTGTATAATAACTATTTTTAATAGCATGTAATACTTTTTCATATATTTCATTAATTAACTCTTTATCTAAGTCTTCATATAAAATATATAAATAATTTAAACATAACAAAAAATTATAGCTATTAGAATATAAAAAATAATTATATTTTTTTAATAAAATAATGAAATCACTAATAAAATATGTTAAATAAGAACCGAAATGAAAAATTAAGTCAATGTTATTATTTAAAATATTTCTTAATTTATCTCTTAATAAAGTTTTGCAATATATGGATATTTTTAATAGACTTTCTTCTTTTTGTTTTCCATTAGTGTAGTTGTTATCATGACTTACATAATTTTTAGAGTCATCAGTAATGTTGTTTGTTGTGTTGTATATCTGAAAAAAAGAATCTAACGTGTTTCGATTTATATAAAAAGGTAGTGTGATTAAACTACCGTAAAAATAATAATTTTTTACTCCTTCTAATATATATTTACTATTTCTAAATTCTTGTAATTCTAATCTTATATGATTTTCATTTATGAAACTATTTATTTTGTTTGTTATTTTTTTTATTTCATTTATCTCTTTAGAGTTATTTTTTTTTTCTTCTGTTATATTTAAATTATTTTGAATATAGTTTATATCTGAAATTCTTTTGTTGTTAAATGTAGAATTTGAAATTGTTAAGAAGTTATCATATTTTATATGTAAATTGTCAATAATAGAAAACTCTATCAAAATACTTATGTAATTGAATAAAATAAAAAAATAAAGATACTCCAATGATTTGATAACTATATCATCATTGTTATTATGTAACCTTATTTTTTTCATTTCTTCAATTAAAATAAATAAATCTAAGTTATTATTTTTAAAATTTTCATTATTTTTATTTATTAAATAAACTTCATAATAATTTTCTTTACGTTGAAATTTGCAAATGTTAGAAATTGTTTCATTATATATATCTCCTAATAAGGATGATAAAATACCTGTAAGAAAAGAATATTATTTCGTGAATATGATTATTGCAATTACATATAAAAAAGAGAAATTAAAATTGCTAATATAACAAAAAAAAAAAAAAAAAAAAATAAAAAATAAAAAATAAAATAAAATAAAATAACATATATTCATATATATATGTATAACCTTTATAAAAATTTTCAATTTCTAATAAAGATAAAATAGAATAATATTTCAATATTTTAATATTAACAAATTGATGAAAATATAATTTTCTCGATTTTTTTTTTTTGCTTTTTTCATAAATTTCTATAGATCCATAATTATAATTTGGAAAATTAATATTTATTTTATTATTTTCTTTTAAACTTTTTTCTAAAAAATTCTTTAAAATATAGGCTCTTTTGTTATCTAAATTATTTATTTTTGTTGTGAACTTATTTTTCAAAGTGTTCTTATTTAATTTAAAGGAATTATCATTATTAAAATGGGACAAAATAAGAGAATTATCTAAATAAAAATATGAATTAGCATTGAAATTGTTTAGAACATTTAAAAGAAATGATATGAATTTATACACCCATAAATATAAAGAAGAATTAAATAAATCAAAAAATAATATAATGTTTGTGTAAAGAAATAATAGGTGTATTTTTATTAGTATATTAACTGATAAAGCTTGAAATTTTATATTAGCTATATTTAAGTCACTATTTGGAAATAAATTAATAGGTAGATACGAATATTTATTAATGAAATTATTATTTATTATCAAACGTAATTTTTTTTTTTTATATTTATATAACTTTTTAATTTTTTCTTTAGTAATAATATTATATTCAACATATTCTTCAACGTTTTTTATAATATCCTTTTTATTTTTATCTTTATTATTAAATGGTACAATATTTTCACCTTTAGTTGATCTTATAAAATTTATATCATTATTATTTATTTTCATATAAGTTATATTTGAATGATTATCTGTAGAGGAAGAGCTTATGCAATCACTTAAAGTTGACAATTCATCTTTATCATCCTTGTCTAATAAATTAAAATTTTCTTTGTGATAACTTATTAGTGATTCATATAAATTTAAATATTTTTTTTTTTTTAAAAATAAATTCATATTTTTATTTGTCTTGTTATATACTTTTATAATATCAACGAAAAATTTTTTAAAAGTATAATTTTTATATCTCTTCAAAAAAGACTTTTGATAATCTTCATTATTTTTAAATATATAACCCAAATTGAATATGCTTAAATATATATTTTTTTCTTCTATGTATATGAAAATATCATTAATATAATTATTTAAACTATAAATATCAACAAAACTAGCACATAATTCATTCGTTTTTATTTCTGTATATTTCTTTTTTTGCTTATTCATTTTAAACTTATTACTATTTAAATTGTTATCTTCATTTTTGTTAAATTTATAATATACTCCCTCATTATTTAAAATTAAATCAATTATAAATAATAATCTTTGAATGTTTTCAAAAGATAATATAAAAATATTGTTTATAATAAAATCGATATTTTTTAAAATAATTGAATCAATGATTTTATTATTTGCATACTTATTATTTAATTCAATATTAACAATTATCATAGACAAAATATTATAAATTATTATTTCAATAAATTCTTCATCAAGTTTATTTTTTTTATTCTTTTTGTTCTTTTTCATAAATTTTCTAATTTTTATATTATTTTCCATTTTTTTTTATTTTGTTTTTATTTTTTAATTTCCTTTTTTATTTTTTTTTTTCATTTTTAGTATACTTTTTTTTTTTTTTGTCATAAAAATTTTAGTATTCTCCATTCTTTATTTTTTTTTTTTTTTTAAACAAAATTGTAAATTATACTATTTTATTTTTTATTCTATTATTTAATTATTTATTCTACTTAAAATTATTTTTGAAATATTTATAAGTTAAAATTATTTACCTATAATATTTCTTAAAATTTTGTATCACGATAAATCTATTCTTTTTTTTTTTTTTTTAAATTTTAATAAAATAGATAATATATATTTATTATACATAAATTTTCACATGTATTTTTTATTTTATATAAAATATGTAAATATATGCATTTATGTGTATTTCATTTTTTATTTATTTTATTTTATTCTATTTTATTTTTTTTGTATTGTTCTATTTGTTAATAAACTTCCATATAGTTGATATTACTCTTTTATTTTGTTTTTTTTTTTTTTTTTTTTATTTGTATAATTTTAGTAAAATTATATTTAAATTTTGTTATTATTTTTTTAATATTCTTTATTTTTTTTTTTTTTTTATTTAGCGAGAGTTTTAAACAAATACCATTTATTTTTTTTTTTGTATTTATTTAAAGTATATTTTAACTTTACTATTGTTAATTTGTCTTATATATTATTTGTACATATATTTATTTTTTAAATCTTAAAACTAAAAAATATATTAAAAATTTTTTTTTTTTATAAGAATCGCAAATATGTTTTTAGTTGTTTTAAAGGAGTAATTTTATTTTCTTTTTTAGTATTTTTTTTCATTATAATAGATGTAGTTAAAATTCTTTATCTAAATATTAGTACATATATATATATATATAGATTATTTAATAAATATGAAAAATATATCAATTGATAATAGAAAATTGGAGTTTTTTAATTTGGAAAATAAAATAACAGGAAAAACAAATGACTACAATAATAATTCTAATGCCATTATTAATTGTTTCAATATTAATAGAACAAATGAAAAAGTTTACTACAAATCAAAAAAGAACAATAAATTGTGTGTTTTAAAAGATTTAAATTTTAATGGTGATTATTTGGTTAAAAAGAAAAGAAAAGAAAAAAAATTGATTATCAAAAATAACGAACTAAATTTACGTAATAAATATGATTATTTTTTGAAAAAAAAGTGTGATATATTTAATCTTCAATCATTTAATACTAGAAGGTAATGTTAATTATTGTATATTTACATATATATATATATCATAATTTGTTATGATTTTTTGTCTTGTTTTATTAATAAAATTTTTATTTTTAATGAAGCTTTTTCTATACATTTGTTTTATTCTATTTTTATTCTTGTATCATTTATATCTTTTTTTTCTTCTATTATTTTTTTTCCTTTTTTATTTTATTTTTTTTTTTTTTTTAGCCACAACTTAAGTAATATACATGATATCTATTACATATATAAAGATGGATCAGATATTTCCGATATAATTATTAAAAGATATAATGAAAATATTTATGTAAGTATATTTAATAATATTCTTCTTTTAATAAACCCATCGGAGCATATAAATATTTTCTATAAATTATTATTTAAATCTAAAAATAAAAATAATTATATATTTTACTCATTTATAAATAATGCTTTGAAAAAAAATTTAGGAGAAGTTGAATTTGATTATATTTCAGATCTGGAAGAAGAATCTGAGAGTTCAGAAGAAATTAAAAAAGTAATTAATTATATAAATAGAAAATCAGATAAAAATAAAATATGTGGACACAATTTCAAAGAACTTAAAAAACAAAAGAAGAAAAAAAAAAACTTAATTGATATTAAAAAAGATTTAATTAATAATAACAACAATGAAATTAAAGAATTGCATAAAGACATTTTAAGTAAAATTCGTATTAATTTTAATTTAGTTTTCAATATTAATAACAGTAGAAATAAAGAAATTGTTACTAATAATAATTCAAAGAAATTAATTAATTCTACTAGTTTTAGTAATATATATATAGCAAAAAATTCTACGTTTAATTCTTTTAATTTTGAAAATAAATTATTATTTATATATGGTGAAAAATACAGTAACCAAAATATAATAAATAAATATATTTTCAAACATATAATAAAAACGGAAAATTCTGAGGTATATCATAATTATAAAAAAGTTATGAGTATCATTAATTTATTTTTTAATTCTAAATGTTATAATTATATAATACATTACTGTAATGAAAATAAAATATTATATTTTAATTTTGCCCCTTTTTTTTTATATGATCAAAATAATGTAACAAACATTTGCAAAAAAATAACTGATTTTTATGAGGAATTAATTAGTGTAAATATTGAAAATGAAGAAAAATCTTCTAATGAAAGTATAAAAAACAATATAGAAAATTTTAATCATTTTAATACTTCAACAGATAATTTAAGATATCAAAACATTAAGAATTATTATAAAATAATGGAAAATTCTAATTATAAAGATAACATAAATAATAAACCAGAATTAAATAAAAAAAGTAAATATAGTGATAATAATTCTAATAAAAATGATTTTATTAGTATTCCATTCATTTTTTTTTTTCTTCTTCAGAGTATATTGATAGATAATTCTAATAAAAATTTAAAAGTCTTAAAATTGCATCCTTTAGATATAAAAAAAATATATAAAAATTACATTGAATCTCCTTGTATTGATCTTAAAACGTCTGACATTGAAAGAATCTTTTCCAATTTTTTAGAATTAGGTTTTACTGAGCAGGATATTATTTCTATAAATAAAATAATTTTTGCAATTATTTTTATAAATGTATATATTAATATTAGAAGATGTTTAAAAATAAATGAGGAAAGGACATTAAATTGTTTAAAAATTCAATTAATTAAAATTGAAGATTTTATGAAATTAAGAAAATGGGAAATAACGGAAAAAAAAAGTAATGAAGATATTTTTGCACATAATGATTCCAATAATTCATCCTTTTTGCTTAGAAAAAAAAGTGAGGAATTACAAGAAAATAATTTTAACAATTTATTTAATTTTAATATAGATAATTATTTAAGTAGTGGTTTAAGTTCATTTTCAGATGTAGATGAGATTAATGTAATTAATAATATTATTAAAAGTAAATATACGAAAGAAGAAAGTGCAAATGAGAGTAGAAACAAATATAATGAAAATTCAAGTGGAAGAAAATCGGAAGATAGTAAGTTAAATATAAAAAGATATAATACAAGAGAGAGTAGTGAAAACAATGAAAACTTAAGTGGTAATGATACATTTGAATCAAATAAAAGTTCATTTGACAAAAGAGAAAAAAAATATAACTACTTTATAGTATTCGCTGGCCATATACTGGAAGAATATATATCTTTTTTATTAGATGTCGATTTAAACATTTTTGTAAATATTTTAAATGATACTATAAAATTAAAAAATTTGTGTACAAATATTTTTTTTAGATTGAAAATAAAAATAATACAACAAGTGAATGAATTTCTAAAGAATACCAGTAGAAATGTAATTACTAAATATTCTCTATTTATTTATTGTAATAATGGTTTAGTAGAAAATTTAGTAGAAAACAATAAAGGAAATAAGAAAAATAATCTAAATGAACTCATTAATAATATATATGATGAAGTATTGCATTCTTATTATGTAAAAATGTCTTTATTTAATCTTGATAGTTCCATTATACATACATTAAATGAATTAGATAAAAAAAATGCTAATTGTGAGGATGCAATATTTAGAGGTATACAAAAATTTAGAAATATTAACAATTCTATTTATAAAGATGATGCAAAAAATTCAATTAACTTTCATTTTGATAAAATATTTTTCGGTAAAAATAAAATATTACATCTATTAGAAAAATTTACATATAAATATTTAAGTATTATAGATTATCAGAATTCTTACAATGAATCAAAAAAAAGTCAAAGTTTGCTTATAAAAACTGAATATTATAAAATTATGCATATTTTTTATCTTACTATAAAGGAATTAACACACTATTATAACGAAATATATGTAAGAAAAAACAAAAATTGTTTTTTAGAACAAAAAGTAGTTGAAAATGATGACGAGTCTTATATTGAAAAAAAGATAAATGAATTAATAGATTCCATAATAAAAACAAAAAAACAAAATAATTATAAGTCAAAAATATACAAAAAAAAAAAATTCACCATATTACATTATAATGGTAAAAAGACAACATATAAATGTGATAATATGCTATTAGATAATATTAGAGATATATATACAATGAATGATATAATTCAAATTATTGAAAATAGTCATATGAAATTTTTAAAAAATATATTTTTTAAAGATACTATTCCATTAAAAGGATTTAAAAGCAATTATTTGTATGATGAAATTTGTTTTTTTATTAACACAGTAACCAATACTTATGAAAAATTTTATATTCTTGTTTTAAATGAAAAAGAAAAAAAAAACCAGGATTTTTTTCTTCCTAAATATATTTCAAATTTTGTAAAACATAATGAATCACTTACATTAGATAATGAAGGAATTTCAAGTTTACGTAGTAATATTTTCAAAAATAATTTTTCTCTTTCTTTAAATAGATTATTGTCCAATAATATGAAACTTAATAAAAAAAAAATTTCAAATGTGAATTATAATCCTGTAGAAAGCATAATGAATTTTAGTGAATTTAATAAAAAAATAAGTAAACATCACATTACATCCGTAGTTAATAAACTATATTTAAATGATATTTTTAATTATCAATCAAAATATTTATATTATAATTTAACATATTTATCTTTTATTAAAAAATATATATTGTTCTGTATTCATTTTAGCAAAGATGAAGACTTAATAAAACTTTTAAATTATTATGAATTAAAGCATAAAAAGGATTATAATAAAGAAAATGAATACTCCAATACATATTCTGGTATATCAAAGAAATCATTAATTAATGATGAGTATATTTATGAAAAAAATAAAACTATACAAAATAATATAAGAATGGATAGCAGTGAAAACAAGTTTAATTATTTAAATAATTTATCTATTCATGAATTAGAAGATTTATGTAAAATAATTTTATATAACTTTAACATATCTGAAAATACATTTTATTTTCAGAGGTACATATTTATAAGAAAATATGTATATTTTATTTTAGAAAATTTAAAAAATGAATATTTAAAATCAGTAGTACCACTTATACGAAGGATAGAAAATAGCTATATATCTTATAAATATAAAAAATCTAAATTATTATATAGACACAAAATTAAGATAATACAAAATTATATGCAAAAGTTTCTTTTTTTTTATAATTATAACAAAATACAAAAGCAAAAAAATTTATTAGTATCTTTTTTGATATTTTATAGCTTTATAGTTAGGAATAAATATTTTGGAGAAACCAAAGAAACATTAGAATTATCTAGAGAAAATTTTATTAATAAAGAAAAACAATTAATTAGACATGCTTCTTGTTTATATATACAAGCATGGTTTAGGAAAATAATACAGCAAAGAAAATATAAAGAATTAAAATTAGAATTAGCACAAAGAAAAGCTATTGAAAATATTAGTGTTGTTGTTAAGACTTATATAACACAATTAAAAATGGTAAAGAATATAAATGAGGTAATTATTCCTAACAGATGTGCTACTTTAATTCAATCTTATTTTAAAAAATATATGTGTTTAGTTAATTTTCAGAAAAAGTTGTTTCTGAAAATATGCTTTCTATCTATAAAAAGAAAATATATGATGTATTCCAATGTAATTACAAAAATGAATTATCATTATTTACTAAAAAATATTTATAATAGAAGTATAATCAAAAAACAATTTAAAATTCCTGAAGCAGTAGTTAAAATACAAAGTAAATATAAAAGCTATGTTGTTAAAAAGCAATATAACCTTCTAATAAATGCTATATACTTTACTCAAGCATATATTCATACTAGCTTAGAAGCTATAAGATATAACAAAATTAAAAAAAGCATATATAAAATTCAAATTTGGTGGAAGAATTTCATTAAGTTAAAAAAAGTTTTTTCTGCTTTTCATTTAAATATATATAGTAGTGCATATGAAAAAAAAAAATACTATTTTTTACAAAAAAGCAACTTTCCAAATTATTATTATTATATTTTAAAAGAGCAAAAAGCATTAAAGTTGTTAACTTATAACATTTTGTTAAAACAATGGTATTTTTTTTATTTTAAAAAATTACAAAAAAAAAATCATTTATTTAATATTGTATTTAATTTAAAATTATATAAAAATATATCTTATTACTACATGCTTCCATGGGCATACAAAATAAATTCAATCCTAAAAATAATTCATATGAAGCATATGTTTCAGGAGTCTACAAACAGTAATCTAAAAACGTTGTTTAATATTCCTGTTTTTGAATCTGTTCAAATTTTTGTTGGAAAAACTCATACAATTCTTTTAATTAATCAGAAAATGAGTAGTGAAGAATTTACATATAATGAAGATAAAAATAGTAGACATTATTATTCTAAATTTGTTTACAGTTGTGGGTCTAATGATTATGGTCAACTTGGTTATTATAATTTATATGAAAAAAATTCTATGTATTACATGAATAGTTTTCCAAAGGGTTTCGATAATGATACAAATGAGAAAGAAAGAAGAATTATTATTATTACAGAGGAAAATATTCAAAATAAGAAAAAATCATTTGAAGAAAAAATTAAAAAGGATAATAAAAAATTCCAAATAAATGATCAAACAGAAACAAAAACAAAAAAAAATTATTATGATATTAATGACAGTCATAGTAATAAACGTAGTAGTAGTAGTGATGGTAAAAAAAGCTTTTCCCTAAACAGTTCTATAGATAAATATTTTAGCAAAGATAATAATTCTTATAATTATGAACTGAATAAGAAAAAAAAAAAAGATGTAAAAAATAAAAAGAAATTTTATGATAGACGTCTAAAAAATTTACAACATTTAATATTTCAATATGAACAGAAGTACACCATTTCTAAAAGGTATATAACTCAAACTTATTCAGAATTTTTAAATGATATAAGTGATTATAAAATAATACAAAAAAAAAATAAAAATGGAGAAATAGAAAAAGTAATCCAATTTACAAAGGTAATAAATGAAACAAATAAAATTAATTATATTAGTTGTGGTTCTGAGCATACATTGGCTTTGTCTGAAAATGGGAATGTGTATTCATGGGGAAGCAACGCGTTTGGTCAATGTGGTCAAAAATATGAAAAAGCTATAATTAGGTATCCAAAAATTATTAAGCATTTTTTAAAAAATAAAATTCTTATTAAATATATAAATTGTGCTTCATATCATAGTGGATATATTTCTAGCACAAATGATTTATATATTAGTGGAAATTTCTTTTTTATTAATTTAAAATATTTTAATAGTAATATTTATGAACCTACATTTTTAATTTCTGGATGCCTTACTATATTATGTAAAGATAGCTTTAATATTTCCTTAAGGACAAATAAAAATTCTCTATATATATGGGGCAATAATTACAAATGTATATTAGGATTAAATAAAAAAAAGTTGGTAAATCTTGATGAAATATCTGTTTATCCATTAACTAAAATTTTTGTTAATATTTATGTAAAAAAAATTACATGTTCAGATAATTTTGTCTGTATAATAACTAAAATAAATGCCAAAAAATATTCTTTATTTATGTGGGGTCAATTCTCTCTTATAGAAAAAAAAGAAAGCAATTCATTAAATGTAGCAACAAATACTAATATATTTAATAAATTTAAAATTAAAACAAATATAGAAAATAGAAAAAATGAAAAGAAAAATGGAAATGATGAACAAAATAATATAATTGATAATATCAATTTAAAAAAAAAAAAAATATTTATAGCTAGTCCCACACCTGTTTATAATGATTTATGGGAAAACATCGAAGCTATTGATATATGCTGTGATTTAGATGAAATTTTGGTATACATAATATAAATAAAAAATATTTTAAAATTTAATAATATTAATAAAAAAGTTTATATATATTTATATATATATGTGTGTATAAAATAAAATAGAAGATAAAAAAATTTTTTTTTTCTAAAATTTAGCATATGTGTGTATATAATAATAATAATAATAATTACAAATATGTTATATTTTATATATTTTCTTAATATAAAATTTCCCTTGTATTTAATAGGTATTAATGAGTAATTTGTGTTTATATGGATTTAATTCTGTGGAGGTTTTAAATAAAGAAATTAAAAAAAATGAGGAGAAAGATATGACATTTTATAATCCTTTTAAAAAAAACGAAAAAGAAGAAAAAAAAGAAAAAAAATTAATTTATGAAGAACCAGAAATATATGATAATATTAATTTCTTAAATCCATCGCTTTATATGTTCAAATATTTTAAACCATCATATTTTAATATAAAAAAAATTAATTGCAGCTATAATAAAAATAGTTTATCAATTATGAATGCAACAATGGGTGAATATGAATTACCTAAATTTAATGAAAATATAGAATATATCACACCATCAGGTAAACTTATATCTTTTTTAATTTTCAAATGTTTATATATAGTTATAAAATTCAATTATATATATATTTTTATTTACAAATTTAGATTAATGTTACTTTTTTCTTTTTTCTTTTTTTGATTTATAGGAGATATTGTAAAATTTCCTGAAAAGATAAAAGAAGCTATTTTAAAAAGAGCTGAGAATGAATCTAATAAATGGATAAGATCAAAAGATGATCCTTATATAAATGTAAAAAAAAAAAAAAATAAAATAAAATAATTACAATATTAATATATATATAATTTATTATAACATATAATATTTATTTAAAAATTACTATATATTTTTTTCTTTTTAAGCACTTCTTAATAAAAAATACAAGCGATTCAGAAGATTAATTTTAATTTTATTATAATGTGAAAATAATTCAAGTAATATGTACACTCGGTTTTTTCTTTAAAATTTACTTATTTCTACTTTCTATAGTAAAATTTTATCCTGATTTATAAATATCCAAAAAAATGCTAAGACTTCTGTTTTATATAAAATATTTTTTTTTTTTTTTTTTTGTTTTTTAACAATTATTTTGATACATTTTTAATTAGAAAATGAAAATAATTTGTGTTTATTGTATTGTTATTAATTTTACAAAAAAAAATGTACCTATATGAAATACATATTTTAACTTCTTAAAGATTTTTTTTCATTTTTCTGATATTTGTAATTGACAAAATGTTAATTACAATAATATAAAAAAAAGGAAGATTCAGATTTTTGTAACTATTGTTTAAATATATATTTATATTTAGCTACATTAATTTAAAAATATTTTTTTTTTTTTTTTTTTTTTTTGTAATTTAAATTACATTTGTATATATTAATATAAATGCTTTTTGTTATTATGCTACTTTAATAAAAGAATTTTTTTTCTTTTTTTTTTTAATAATTGTTGTAATTTTTTATTATTTATATATACATATATATAAGATTTTTATATTTATTTGTTTATTTATTTATTTATTTATTTATTTTTTTTTTTTTTTGTATTATAATATTTATTATATTTAAAATTAATTTTTTTAGTATATAAAAATGAGCAATATTGATGAATTTTATGAATATGCAAAAAATAATTTTTTAAGCTTTTTAAAGAAGAATAATATAAATTCTAAAAATGAAGAAAAGATAGAAATTAAGGAAAATAAAAGAAAAATTAAAGGAATAAATAAGAAAGATTTGTCTGATATAGAAAAATTAAAAAATGAAGAACTTAAAGATAAAGAGAATTATGATGAAAAATATAAAAATTTTATATTGAAAAAAAAGGAAAAGAAAAAAAGGAAATACAGGAAAAGTTCTTCTAGTATGTCATCTTATAATGAAAAAAATGATTCTAGAAATAAAAAAAAGAAAAAAAAAAGGAAACATGAAGAATATAAAAAAACTTGTAGAGAAGAAAAAAAAAAATATAAAGAAAGAGAAATTAAATCATATATTAATGATCCAATTAGTGATGATGATAAGAATAATCCCGAAAATGAAAATTTGTCTCTGCTTCATCAAAATGAAAATGATGTTAAAACTCATTTTCCAGAAAATAGTAAACTAAAAATTAAATTAGAAAAGATAATTGTTGAAAAAAAAAATAGTATGTTGTTAAAAAATTCATTAAATAAAAATTTAGTTGATTGCAAATATTGTATTGATTCTAATTCATTTGATAAAATAAATAAATTAAATATAGTTAGTATTAGTAATAGGTCATACATATGTTATTATAATTATAAAAATATTTTTTTAAAAGATCAATTGTTTATTTCACCTATAGAACATACAACTAGTATAACTAATACTGATTTTGAAACAATTAGAGATATACGTAATCACATGAAATCATTAATAGCTATGTTAGAACCAAATAATCAGACATGTATTTTTATCGAATTCAATAATTGTTTTAATTCAAATATTGAATTAATATCTATGAGAAAAACTAAACATACATATATAAATTGTTACATAATACCGATGGAATTATTAGAAAAAGCAAAGATTTATTTCAAAAAAAATATGGAAGATATAAATTCTTTATATAGAGAAAACAAACAATTAATTATTACTGACAATAAATATGCACCTTACAATATTATTCCGAAGAAAATTCCATATGTATCAATTAATTTTTCTCTTGTTGAAACTTATATACAAGTTATTGAAAATAATTACGATTATATAAATATGTGTAAGTGTATTTTTACTGATCTTTTTAAAAAAGATAAACTATATAAATATTTTAATAATTTTCAACAATATGTAAATACAGTAGAACAATTTAAAAGTTCCTATGAAAAGTATGATTGGACTAATTATATAAATAAATAGTATTCATTTCATTTTTTTTCTTTTACTTTTTTTTCAAATACTTTTTTGTTTTTAAAACATTGTTCAAATGTGTTTAAAAAAAAAAAAAAAAAAAAATAGATATGTAAAATATACATTACTTAAAAAAAAAAATATATTTTTAATGAATTAGTTTTGAAAAATTTATTATTTTAATAATTTATTTATTACATAAAAGTTATGTTTTAATGAATTATTAACAATGAAAAACAAAAATTTTTAAATATAATAAAAAAAAAAATTAATAAAAAATTTATATATAGTTATCTTCGTAAATAACTTTGTATTGATCTATTTTTTTATTTTCTTCTTTTTCATCTAAATAATTTTCAATGAATTCACTTTCAGCTTTTTTAATTTCATCATGGTTTTTACATAATTTATATTTATCTAGTAACTCTTTGTTTAAATTAGTAAAATTAATACTCCACTTGTAAATGTTTAGTATATCGTTGCATTGCTGAGTATAATTACAAATATAAAGGCAGAATGCTAGTGATTCTAAACATGAAAGTTTGTATGGCTTTCCATAGTTGATACTATTAACTGCAATAATATATGGTAACTTTCTTTGATTAGAATATTTTATTTTTTTTAATAAATCTAATGATTTCCATGAGCAATCAATTACCGATAATCCAAATTTTTCAACAGTATATTTATCATTTATTGAAAAATATTTTTCACAAAATGGTGTTAATACTATCCCCTTAAATTTTTTATTTGTTTGAACTTTTTTTATCTTTTTAAAACGATACAATTTTTTACATGAACATTTTTTATTTTGGCATTCTTTGTAATCAATCATAAACAATTTTATTTCATCTATATCTTTTTTTATATTATCACTATATTCGCTTGTACACTGGTTTTCTTCATCATTAGATTCATTTGTAAATTCATCTTTATCATCACTAATATCATTTTCATAATTAGGTTTTTTTTTATCATTAATTTCACGTGTACAACCATTTCTTTCATCAAATTCAATTATAGATTGACTAGAACTATCTACCTTTTTCATATTATCTAAATTCAATTCCTCCTTTTCTTTTTTCTCTTTTTTTTTTTCTATTTTATTACATATTTTACTGTTTTCATCTTCTAATTTTTTTTTTGTAGACTCTATATTTTCATTATTTCTCTCTTTTTCTCTTTTTCTTTCATTAATTATTTTAATTAAATTATGAACTGAATATTTTTTTCTTTCTAAATAACTTTTCTTCATTTTGCTTTTAAATAAAAAAAAAAAAAAGCTAAATATATTTGTATATTATTTTATTAATATATATATATATATATCTATCTATCAATGTTTATCATTTATAATTTTATGTTTCTTTCTTTTTCTTTTTTTTATTTAATTGGTTTGTTTAATCTATTTTTCTTTTTTTTTTTTTTTTTTTTTTTTTTTTTTTTATTATAAATCATATTTTTCTTTTATATTATATGAATTAGCTTGTCAATTTTACAATTTAGGATAAAAAAAAAAAATGACCAAAAAAAAATATCCTTTAAATTGTTGCAAATTATTCTTTCAATAAAAAAAAAAGAAGATGAGTAATTTCTTGAAAAAAATTAAAACTCCATTTTATTTTAAAGTATTTTATGATCATAAGAACATTTTACACAAAGATGGAGAAATATTTGTGATTTATTTTATGAAGATTCAATAATTTATAGATTATTTATCAATTTTTGAAAATTTTACGAGATCAATTAACAATTCATTATGAAAGAAATGTGACTACTCCCTTTATTATTATTTTTTTTTTTTTTTTTTTTATCAACTTATGAATTGTTATTTTTTATTAAAAAAAAAAAATGATAATAAAATTTATTTTATTTATTCTATTTATTAAAACATATAATAGTTTTCAGTTTAATTATAAAATATTACCAAAGAGTGACTATAAACACAATTGTGTAAAAAAATTTCCATCTGTAAATTATTTTTATAAGTTTCAAAATGTAAAATCTAAGGAATTTAAAAATAAAATTTTGTCTTTTTTTTCAAATTATTTCAATAGAGAATCTGATAAATATACATTAAGTTAATACAAAATAATAATAAAAAATTAAAAAAAAAAATATATTTAAAAACATTTTCACATATATATCAACATATATATGATGATTTAAAAGCGGAAATCCGTTCAGCAAATAATAATAATTCATATAATGAATGATAAAACATTTATTTTTTTTATTCAGATCAAGATGAGAAAGATTATTTAAATAAATTAGGAGTAAGCGAAAATGATGATTATAAAGATTTAGTTAAATCACATGAAGAATACATTAAAACAATTAGCGATATTAAGAGCAAATTAAAATATAAAGATTTATTTTTTTTTATTACCCAAAAATTAATTCATAAAAATTTATATGAATTTAAAAGAAAACAGAAATATAATATATTTCAAAATGATGAATACACTAGCGAATTATCTATTGATTATGTGAAAAATTCTAACATTGAAGAAAAATTTAAAGAGATATTATTAAAAAAACTAAGTAGAGAAAACAATAGTCATAAATTTCGCCTTTTACGTATTTTTAAGTGGTATGTAAAAAAAAAAAAAAATAAAAGAAAAAAAAAAATTAAATATTATATATATAAACAAATTTATAACATTGTATATATTGTTATTACATTTTGCATACATATTTTTATATGTAGGAAAAGTGCATCAGATATATTTAACATTAGTAAATTAATTATTCCAATTGCTTCTATCGGTTTGTTTTTATCAAAAATGGCAATTTTTTCAGTTGTTGTAAATATGATAATAACTGCACATTTTTTGACTTTCAAAAAAGATCAAAAAAAAAAAATGAAAATTTCTACTTTGATTTTAACCATGGTATTAATACTAGTACACTCTTCATTTGGTATAGTGTGTAATAGCATATTCTTTCACTATTTTAAGGTAATATATGTTCATGTTATAAAGACACAAATTCTTTTTATAACAAAGAGAAACAATCAAAATATAATTTAACATTATAAAATTATTATTTATATTTTCTTTTTATATTTTCATTTTTTTTTTTTTTTTTTTACAGTTTAATATACCTACATACATAAAAAGAGAGAACATTTTATCTATATTCGTCAATATACAATTATATATAGCATCCTTAATTTATTTTACTAATAACAATAATCATGAAAATGAAGATGTAAATGAAGATGTAAATGATTCTATATTTAACAATATTGATTTCGATGATGAATTTTCATTAGAGAAAAATAAATAAAAAAAAAAAAAAATATGTTCTTTTATTACCTTTTCATTTAATTTAAAAATATTTTTAAGTATTCATGAAACTTTCTATATAAATCTAAATCAATCTTTATTGTAATTTTTTATTTTCCTAAATATTATTTTAATAGAATTAATTAAAAATTTTTTTTTTTTTTTGTATATTTTCTTCATATAGATCATTAAAAAAATTTAAATAAAAGGTCAAAAAAATATAATAAATGTAAAAAGAATTAAGAAAACATTGTGATTTTATTTTTAAGAAAGCATTTCTTTTGTTAAAAAAATAATTTAATTATATTTAAAATTATAAAAAATAAAAAATATATTAAAGATAAATATAAAACTTTTTATACACAAAAATAAAAATATGAAACAAAAGGCTAACTAAAAATGTTAAAATTTGATATTATATATATATAGTGCAATAAATGTACCTTTTTTATTACAATAGCTATTTTGTTCTAAATTTTATTAAAACAAGTGTTGCAAATTGAAAATATTTTATTGTGACATAAAGAATAATATTAAAAACAAAATAATTTTATTTTTTGTTAGAAAAATCAATTAAATCATATAATTTATAAAAGGATATGTTGCTTTTTAAATCTTTTAATCGGTCAATAATTTTTAAATCATTATTTTCATAAATATTAAAAGAAAAAGCTTCTTCATAGTCACTATCAAAAATTTGTTGCTGATAATTATTTTTTAAGATTTTACGTAAATCAAATGAATCATATTTATTGTAATTTAAGTTGAAGTATTTATCATTTCTATTTTCTTCTTTCGTTATATTATGAAAAAAATCTTTCTCATTTAACCTAGAAAAAAGAAAAGCAAAAATAAAAGCATTTGAAAATTACACAAGAAATATAAAGATAATAAATCAAAAGATTTAAATTCATCTTATATAGTCACTCTCATTATGTATAATGAAATTTATAATAAAAATAGTTCAATATATCACAACATTATTTATAATTTTTCATATGAAAAATATAAGAAATTTATTATATTTATATCATGTAAAACATTTAATAATTTAATTAAAAATAACATTTTATCTTTTTCTTTTCTATAAAAATATAACAAAATTTTCTATATACCTGTATGAATCAATCTGTCTAAGATATTTTCTTGTAATTTTATCAATTTTTTTTTTTTTTAGCACATTTTTTTCATTATGTATTTCTTTTATTATGCTTTAACAGAAGAAAAATAAAAAATATATAATAATACTAAATTAAATAAAAGACATAAAATATGAAATAGTTACACAAAATAAAAAGTATGTTAGGATAATATAGACATAATGTTATTACTTTTTTGAGTAATTAGAAAAAAGATCCAGATTCACATTGTCAGAGTTTTCCAAAATTATCCTTATATCATTTTTTATGCATTCATAAAAATTATATATGGAACATCTATAGTCTTCCTATATATTAGAATATTATGTAAATTTTAAAAATAAGAGATTTATTTTATTTTTTTTAAATTATACTAATTTGTATTACAAAACAGTGATCACATGTAATATTTTTTCTATTTTAAATATTATTCTTTTTTTTTTTTTTTTTTTTTTTATTTCATAAATATATAAATATATATTATCATTTTATATTTATATATGTATAAGCATACTATTATCATATTATTTAAGGAATAAGATTGATCTCTTTCATTATGAATATCATCTTTTAATTTAGGTTTCTATAAAATTAATAGAACATTGTGTTAAAAAAAAAATATATATATATATCTATATATGAAATCGAATGAAAAATTGAATTAATTATTTTGCTCCTTAAAAAAAAAAAAGTTAGACAAAAAAAAAATACATGAATTTCTCTAAATATATTAAGGGGAAAATATTAATATAATGTATAATCCAAAAAAAAAAAAAAAAAAAATAAAAATAAAAATAATAAAATTAACAAAAAAATATTTAATTATACAGATTTTTATTTATATTAAAAACAAAAGTGTTCTATTATATTAAAACCACAAAACTGTAAATAAATATGAAAATATATTTAAATTTTAATTACAATTAAGAAATTTATTTAATTATAAAATAAAAAAAGATGTTTCTTTAAGAAGCACAATATATAAAGAATAAAATATATATTTTGTTTTAAAATGAAAGTTTAATCCATTCAAAAAAAATAATGAATATCTATAATTTATCTTAAGTGAGAAATAAATATATAATTGAAAATTAATTTTTTTTTTAATTTTGAATCAAAATTAAATACTAAAAAGGTTAATTCTGCAACATATATAAATTAACAATATAAAATATAAAGAAAAAAAGGAATAAAATATAAATTGGTTTACTTGGTGTAACTTCAACAATTTTCTTGATTTTTTTTTTTTTTTTTCAATTTTATCAATATGTTTTTTAAGCATAGAGTTTATTAAATATATTCTATTATTTCCTATAAAAATTTTATATATGTGCAAATATAGTACAATATCACAAAATTTCAAATTTTATTATTATTTTTTATATATATTTTTTTTTTTTTTTATATAAATATATTATTATTTTTATTATTATTTTTTTGTTACTTAATGTTTTTTTTATATCCATTAGTAGCGTTGTACTAGAATAACAATTATCCCGTGAAAAATATGAATCATTTAAACTACTTATATTTTTTAACTTAATATCTCTTATAACACAATCTTCAATACCATCATCTATTCTTTTTGTAATTTTTCTATTTATATATTCGATATTTTTATATATATTATCACTTTCTTCTGTACAGGTTATATCACTATTATTATAAATTTTATAAGTAGTTAATTTTTTATGATATACTCGTTTATTATTTTCTCCATGAATAAATGAATCATTTTGTTTGTTAATTCTTTCATAGCTTATTATTTTTTTTCCTAAATTATGAATTTTTTTATCATTATTTTCTATTTTATTATTACTAGAACAATTATTATTTATCATAGTATTTTGTAGGTTTTGTTTACATTTATTATTATTATTATTATTATTATCATTTGAATGTTTAATATCATTAATCATAATGCTTTGTAAAGTATGTAAGAAATTAAAGCTGTAACTTCTATTTTTTTCTAATGTTTTATTATTTCTATTAACCTGAACATCATTATTTATTTTTTTAAATAAGGTACTCATTTTTTTGTTTAAGATATTATAACTTATGTTTTTATTCTCTAATTTTTTATTTTTTTCATAAAGTGATATATATTTTTTTAATTCTACTTTTATTTTGTTGTTTTCTTCTTTATGTTTAAAAGAAGACAATTCTAATTGCTCATTTTTACTCTTTAATTTTTCATTTTCTTCTGTTAAATTATTTATTTTATCAAGTAAATTATTTACATTTCTATTTTTTTCTTTTTCATTTTTCAAGCTTTTTTCTAACTCATATATATAATTTTCTTGATTTTCAGCATTTTCTAAACCTAACTTCAGTTTTTCAACAAGTTTTTTATTTTTATTTTTCAAAATTTCTAAATTATTATCTATTATGTTGAAGTTATTCCTTAAAAATGTTTTTATATTAAATATAAAATTTTGTGAAAAATATTCTATAAACTTATCATCAATTTCTTCTTTATTATTATTCCACTCATTAAATTTATTATGTATGTTATAAATATTTTCAATACAACAGTCGTATATGGACGTATAATTTTCATTATTGCTATATTTTATTTTTTCATTTAATTCCTTTAAAAAATTATTAAACAAATTAAATTCTAAATAAACATTATTCAAATAATTATTATTAAAACTTTCATTCATCTTTGTAAATAAAACAAAAATTGAAATATAAAATTCATAAAGTCATATTTTCACTTTTGCTGCACACAATTTTTTCTTCATAAAAGGTAAATATATGCACATTAATAAAAAGTATTATATTACAAAGAAAAATTAAAGTGTAATATTATTTAAAAAAAAATGAAAATAAAAAATTGAAAATTAAAAATATTACACAAAGTAAAAAACACAAAATTGTTTAAAATTTATGTTTTAATGTTTAAATATTAAAATATATTGTATGAATTACATATCTACATATACACATATATATATATATACATACATATATATGCATATACATATAATTCTTTATAATACAATTTACTGCACTAACATAAACAAAAAAAAAAAAAAAAATAAAAAATAAAAAGCAGAAATATAAAATGAGTTTCCATGTTAGGTATTTAGTTGTATTTTGTTTTTTATTTTATTTTTCTTTTTTTTTTTTAAAGTTCATTTTATGATATTTTGGTAACAGATATATTTATGCATTACGTACATGTACATGCATTATTTTTTAATTTTTTCAAAATTTTAACAACTTATTAGAACAATTCATTAAAACTTTTTTTTTTTTTCTTTTAAATTAAAAAATGAGGGATAAAATAAGAAGCAAATTTACATAAATATTTTGCATAAAAAATAATATTTAAAAAAGATAGAAAAAAAAGGGAAAAAATAAAAAAAAAATTATAACATTAATTAATATAATTCTATAGAATGGGATTATATCATTAAAGTAGAACTTGTTTTTTAAATATACTTTATTTTTCAATTTTAAACGGTATTTGAGAATGTTTCTTTAAACTATAATACAATATTTTAATTGTAATAAATAATTAAAATGGAAAGGAAACATTCCTTTTATTTTATATAAATTTTTTTAATTAATAATTATTTTTTAAATAATTACGATGAATATAACTTATTATTCCAATTATGGAAAAGAGAATGAAATTTTTTACATTTTTTTTTTTTCTAAATTATATCCTAGTCATAATAATTTTAACTTAGATAAAAACTTTCTTTTTCTTTCCTAACTTTTTCAAGTTATTTCTTAAAATAAAGTAACTTATATGTCTTAATATATTTCGAAATTTATATTTTGTACTTTATGGTTAAAATATATTAAAATTTTAGTAATTGAAGAATATACATTTTAAATATGTTTAAAAAATTGGAGGATTACTGACAAAAAAGTAAAACATTTAAATGAATGTTATTTAAAAAAAATTATATTTATATATTATATACATATATATATACATATATATATATATACATATATATATATATATATATATGTATATATATATATATGTATATATATATGTATATATATATATATGTATGTATATTAAGCAGTATAAAAACATTTTTGAAAAAAATATATCAAAAACAATAATTTTTATGTATTCTTGTTTATCTATTTATTTTTTTATTTTTATCATTCAAAAACTTACACATATGCACATAAAATCATTAAAATTGTAAAAGAAATGCGATTATAATATTTTGTATAAGTGCATAAAAAAAAATGTTATATATTTTTTTTTAAATATATAACTAAAAAAAAAAAAAAAAAATTATTTCTTTTTCTTTTTATTTTTTTAATGTTTAAAATTTGGATTAAATTTTTTTATAGATGGTATTAAAAAAAATATATGCACATATAATATATATATATATATATATTATATATATATAAATGTATATATGTTATGGATATATGAATGTATTTATATACTATGTACACGTAAATGTTTTTATATATATAAATATATATATATATATATATATATATATATATATATATATATATATATTTATTATGTATATGTAAATATATGCATATATATATAAATTTAAATTAAGAATTTTCATTAATTATTTAAATAAGCACAAAAAAAAATATTATTGCATTATATATATATATATAAATATATATATATATATATGGGCAGATAGATATATAGATAGATAAATAGTAGATATAAATACAATTATAAAAGAATGTGAAGCATATTTAAATTTATATGGATATTACTTCACTATGGAAAAAAAAAAAAAAAAAAAAAAAAAAAAAATTTAAATTTTATGTATCTTTTATAATTTGTTATGTATTTATTTTATTTTTTTAATTTTTTTTTTTCTTTTTACAACGTATATACAATACTAAATAAAATACTAAGATGATATATTATTATATATTATGCTGTTCGGTAGCGAAGTCTAGATAATAGAAAATTTAAAAGTTCTTGAGGATATATATATTCAATCACTTTTGATGGATATAAACTATGGATTTCTTTATTATTTATATTATGAATAACAGAAATATATAATTCATCTCCAACATTGTGTAAATTTTTAATTACAATTCTATTTCCCTTAGCACTTTTTTTTCTTCTTATATACTTCTTGAAATCATTAACTTTTATGTTTAAATGACCAGTTCTTCTTATATTTGATTCTTCCACCCACTGTGGTGAAGCATTTTTCAAGCTAGCCAAAAATTCCATTTTTCTATTTTTAATTCGAACACTATATACGTCTTCTACATTTAATAAATTGCTATCGTTACTATTGGTCTCTTGTTTTATTGATTCATTATCTTCTTTATCACTTTTTTTTAAAGAATTATCCGAATGAGATATATTTTTTTTACTTTCCAATTTGTTTGTTACAATTTTTTTATTATTTTTTTTTTTTGAAATTGAAGAACTCCTACTTTTGGATTTGATACTACTATCATCTTGAATAGATAAAATGTGATTCTTTGAATTTTTATTCTCATTAGGTGTATCATTTTTTTTTAAATAGTTCATTTTTAAATTTTCCATTTTTTTTTTAAAACTTGTCAAATGTGTTAAATTACTTTCGGGTTCCCACGTATTTTCATCATCAGAATATCCTTTCCATTTTACTAAATATAAAAATCCATTTCTTTTTTTTTTTATTTCAAGTATATCACCAATTTCAAATTCTTCATCTGACGCAGTCATTTTCTTCTCAAATAAGGATTACTATTGCTTTTTTTTTTTTTTTTTTTTTTTTTTTTTTTAAAAAAAAAAAAATATTTAAATGGATTTTTTTTTTTTTTTTACAAAAAAAAAAAAAAAAAAAAAAATTCACCTAAAGTGTAATTTTAAATGTAAAAATTTTATTTTAAACATATAAATTTTTTTTTTTTTTTTTTAAAATAAATTCACGGCTTGTGAACATTTTTTTTATTATTTCAAAAAAAAAAAAAAAATTTTATGTATACTTTAAAAAAAAATTAACACATTTTTATGCATACCCTTTTTTTTTATTAAATATATTTTTTTTTTAAATAAAAATTGGTACTTTAAAATTTAATTTATAATATTAGAATTTTACAATTAAAAAAAAAAATAAAATTTTTATAAATAAATCAAATCTTTATATATGCATATATATATATCCCCATATATTTGTACATACATATTTTTTATATAATTGCATATATATATATATATATATAAATATACATATATACATACATATAAACATACATACATACAAACATACATACATATATATATATATATGTATATATATAAACATATATATTATATTTATATATTCATAAATACATACACATATACATTTAATGTATATATAAAAATATAAAGTATAAAAATAAATATTATGTATAAAAATAAATACTACGTATAAATATAAAAATATATATGTATAAAATTAAAGTGTGCTCGAAATTTTTTTTCGAAACTGGTTTCTTTTTTTTTTTACTCTATTTCTAGTCAAATTGTTAATTAAAAAAAAAAAAAAATAAAAAACGTTTAAAATATAAAATAAATAAATAAATATCTAATAGTACACAAATAATTTATACAATGATATTTTTAGTTTATTAAAAAATTAACATCTTATTAATATATATATCAAGAAGAAAAAAAAAAAAAGAAAAAATTACATGAAAAGTAATGATGAAACTTTTTTTTTTTCTCCGCTAAATTTTTGCTTTTTTTTTTTAAAGCTTAAATCATCTTATTATTTGTTACTGTTACATGAAAATTTTTGTGAATTTAAGATTTTTTTTTATCTCATTATTTTTGTTAAAATTTATAGTATATTATTTTAAGGTTTCCATTATACTCTTAAATTTACAATTTTCTATAATACGGAAACAGAAAACATAGTAGATAATTACTTATTTAAAAAAAAAAAAAATTATAAATTATAGTTAATAGATTTATTAAATAGCTACATCTGTAATTCAATAAAAAAAAAAAATGAGAAAAATGGAGAGGGGAAAAAAAAAGAAATTAAAAAGAAAAAAGATTCATTATATTATAAGATACTAATTTTATTAATTTTTTTTTTTTTTTTTAATTTTTTCAAAAAATTTTAATGTGCATTAAAATTTGTTTTTTTAACAAGTAAAAAAAAAAAAAGTATAAATTATATAGTAAACAATTAACATATTTGTTATAAAAAAATAAAATGAAAAAATATGTATAAAGATTTCTAGCAATGGAAATAGAATTAAATAAAAAGAAAAATTAATTTTCATAGAATTTAATATTATAATAAGGGTATATATGGTTTTTATATTCAAATAGATAACTTTTCATTTTTAATTATTTATTACTTCATATATTAATTGTAAATTTTTTATTTATTTTTTTTTTTTTTTTTTTTCCAAAGCTAAAAAAAAACCTTTTACTTTCTTATTAAATAAATAATTAATATTTAAAATCTAAAAGGAATGGTAATTTTTTAATAAATATTAGTTTTATAATTTTTATTATGATATTTTTATGTTCTTTCTAATAAAAATAAAGGAAGAAAAAACTTATTAGAATATATAAAAAAATTATTAGAAAAATAGGAAATTTTGTTTAGTAAATGTAAAATTCAAAATAATTTTTTTTTTTAATTTTAGAAAATTGCTACTTAAATGCTCAATAAAAAGTTATAATTTACAAAAAATTTTAATTTTTTCCATAACATTCAATTACTATATGTTTATTTCATTTTTATAAATAAAATAATGATAATTTAAATATTTTCTTAAACTATAAAATTTATTTTAGTTTTTTTTTTTTTTTTATATAATTCCTAAAAAATAGCGATGATTTTCGAAAATTATTCTTTATAAGAGCTTTTTTTTTTTTTTATTTCAAAAGAAATTATAGTGTGCACAAATATACATCAAATTTTTAAAATAAAAATTCGACCACAAAAAAAAAAAAAATTATAGTAATACATAGTTATAATAACTGAAATTATTATACTATATCTAAAATAGAAAAAACAGCAACAATACATATAAGTAATAATATTAATAATAAAAGCGATAATAATAACAAAAATAAAATAAAAGTTATAAAACAATGTAGCAGTGTAAACATGCTTACTTATTTGATATGAGATAATATATAAAAAGGTATGAAGTATCAAAAAAAAAAAAAAAAAATAAAATAAAAGGAAAAAGAAATGAAAAAAAAAAAAAAAAAAAAAAAAAAGAGTAAAATGAAAATAAAAGTTATTTATTTCTCCGAAAATATTAAAAAGTCTTTAATTTTAACTATATAATAAAAAATATAGTTGTATTTTATTACTTTTATGATTATTTTAAATTCTTTCAAATTATTTTTAGTGGTTTAATATAAAGTTAACAAATTAAAGATAGTTATAAAAATTACTTAAAAAAAGTTTATATGTATCTTAGAGATGATATTAAAAACACATTGAACATACATTTTAAATGCATTAATAAATATATACATTTTTTTTTTTTGAATATAATATTTTAAATAATTTATATTTGTATCTATGAATAAAAAACTAAAAAATTTTTTATTTTTATATTAAAAAAATATGAAAATAAGTAAGCTTAAAAAATACAATATATGCTAAAAAAAAAAAATGTGTCTAAAAATGTAATTAAAAATATAATAAAATAAATTAATAAATTTACTAAGAGTAAATAATTCTTTTCAAAAAAGAAAAAAAGAGATATATGTATTTTTACTTTTAAGCAACATATTAATATATATGCATATATATACAACTTAAACATTTTTTCTTTTTGAAGCATATATTAAATCAAAAACTTAATTGGATACTGTTTTTAATCTTTTTTTTTTTTATTTTTTAATTGTTAATATCTTAAAAAAAGTTGTTCTAGTATGTAAATAATTTTTTTTCTTTTTTTAATTAAAAAAATATATTTGTATAATAGAAATTATCAGATTTTTAATCAACTAAATGTATTTTTTTTTTTTTTCCTAAAGTAAGACCTCTTCATTGTAATATAAATTAAATCATCTGAAATTTTTAGATAAACTGCTTGATATCTCCAAATGAGATAATTAAGTTCTCTAAAAAGCATAGGAAAATAAATATTTCATTTATTACTATGAAATTGTTTGTTCATTTATTCTTAGGTAACAATAATTACTTTCACCAGTTAAAATAGTTTTATTTATTTTTCAAATTTATTAAGTAATATAACTTAAATTTTTATATTTTATTAATATTTATTTGATAAAAATTAAAATTACTATTTTCTTTTTTTCCTGACTGAATCATTTGCCTCTGAATTTTTTAATTTATTAACGTTTCTTTTAGTTACGTTAAAATCGTATTCTATGCTTTTTTTATTACGTGATGAATTTTCTTCATAGGTTTGTTTTTGTCTTTTAGTAACACTATTGTTGTTACTATTATATTCACAATTACTTTTTCTTTTCTTTTTTTCAATTTTTAATTCAAGGGAACAGTTATTAAGTTTTATATCTTTTTTAAAATCTTGATAAAATAAATCCTTAAAACTACTAGCTAAAGGATATTCAATATTGTTTGTTGACTGTTTTAAAAGTTCTTGAAATAAAAAACAAGGAGTTATCCATTCAACGTCGCCATCTTCATAAGTTATAACAAAAAAATTATTATTATCTTCATCTTTTATATGCTTAGTAACAGTGCCAACAAAAGTTCCATTTGTAAATTCTCTTTGAAATTTAGTTTTTCCTAATTCTATACCAAAAAGGGGAATAAAATTACTTACTTTATTATTATTTACAATAGAATTAAAATGATTTATTTCTTTATCTAATATTTCTTTTGTATTATTTAAATTTATATTAGAAAATTTTTCATTTTTTAATGTTTCATTTTTTAAATCTTCATTTTCTGGGATTTTATTTTGATCATTATTATTTTTTGTGCTAGAATTATTTATGTCATTTTGAAAATATTTTTTATTTTCATATAAACCATTCTTTTCATTTTTCAAATATTCTTCATTCTTACTTCTATTTAATTCAGTATTACTGTCCTCTTTAAATTTATTAAAGTTGTTTATCTTATAACTCTCTTTATTATTAACTGTTTCACTTAAATCATTATGTAATGTATGTTTTTCTTTTTTCCCGTCATCATAATTATCAATATTTTCATTTTTTCCTGTATTTGATGAATCTAGATGTTTTTTAAAATCTTTGTCATTTGTATTATGATTTTCTTTGCTTAATGATTCTCTTTTTTCATAAAAAAAATTATCATCCTTTTTTATTTTACCGAAGTTATTGTTATTTATTTTGTGTGTAACATTACTAAAATTTACTTCTAAATTCATATTGTCATTTTCAATTAGAGAATTATTATTTTTTATTATGTTTAAATATGCACCATCTAATTCCTTTTTCCTGTATTCTTTTATAGTATTTGCTAGCTCTCTTATAACTGATTGGATACACTCACTTGATGATTTAAATAGATCTTCATCAGTTAAGCAATCATTATAGTTAGAATGAAAATGCATTTTTGTTATTCGGCATATAATTGCTTTTGCTAAATCATGATGTTTATTATAGCAACTAGAACAGACTGACAGTTTTTTTAGATAATCATTTAAAGGTAGAGATGGTTGCTTGGTGTTTATTCCTTTTTCAAAATCTTTTATTAATGGAAATCCTATATATTTTTTACTTAGCTTCATCATATAATTGCAACAGGTACCTTTGTTATTTTTATCTTTTTTTCTCATTTCTTTTAAATTTTTAACGATGTTATTTGATTTTTTGTATAATATTTTTTCATATGTATTCGAAAAATTAGAATCTATTTCACTAGTGTCATTACTAGGCTTCTCAAAAGGTAATTCTTCTTTTTTGAGGGTATTTTCTTCTTTTCCTTCTTTTTCTTCTTTTTCTTCTTTTGGTGATTTATAGTTTTCGTTACTTACTAAATTATCATTACTTTTCTTTTTTTGTAATTTTTGTTCATTCTCGTTTTTTGTAAAATTAGAATCTTTCATTTTTTTTTGTAAATTATTAATATTTTCATTTATTCTTAGAAAATCTTCAATGCACTTTTTGCTTTGTGTTAAAAAACTTAGTGTTCCTTTTCTCCTTTTCAAGGTATTTTTATAATTGTCATTCTTTAAAAAGAAATCAATTTTTTCTCTAATTATCAATAATTCATCAATTTTTTTTTTATAATAAACTAGTAATTGAAGTTCAAAATCATTTAATAATAAATTATTTTCTTCATTTTCTTTAATTTCTAATAAATTATTTTCAATTTCTTTTTTTTCTAATAAATCTTCTACAATTTCTCTATTCTTTTCTATATCGTTTATATTATCATTACTCTTCAATAATTTATTTGCCTTTTCATACCCCTCAAGTTCGTTATAAGTATCGCTATTTTGAAATTCAACACATATAGTTTTATCAAGTGTGTTATTATATAATGATTTATTATATTTCTTTAGATTATCTATGTGAACATCACTAAAGAAGTTTATGAACTTTTTTTGATTTTTTTTTTCAATATAATTTAAAAATTCTTTTTGATTAATTAAATTCAGAGAAAATTGAATACAACTAGAACAAAACCAATCATAATTTTCATTAACTTCTTCGTTTAATTTATGAACACATTTTAAATGATAAATATTATTACAACCTGAACACGTAATAAAATTGTTTCCATCTATATTAACATTATGCATACATATATTACATGTGGTATTATTTTTTAATAAATTATATTTTTCTACAATATCATCTAGCCCATTAAATAATTTATCTTTACTTAAGTTTAATTTATTTAATCTATGCTCAAAATTATTTTTGATAAATTCATTTAAACATGTATCATTAATCCTTTCAAACCATTCAAAACCAAAATCAGCAAATATTTCTTCTCCTGGATAAATTTCTATACCTGGAATTGATGTTAAAATAATATGAGGCCATCCATCAAGGTAAACCAATTGCCATTCAGCATTTATTCTAAAATCATAATTATTGAATATACTGCAAGTCTTATAATGATTTACTAATGACATTTCATTGAACATATATGAAGAATCAACAGCATATGTATAATTATCTGGTAATATAATTAAATTGTTTAAATTTTTTGATTTTTTAAGATCTCCTACTTTTGGCCTTTTTACTTTATGAATACTATTTGTAGAGTTTTCATTTTGAGAATTATTTAAATTACAAAAGGTTTTACCCTTTACATTTTTGTTCATTCTGTTAGTTAATTTTTCACTAATTTCATTATTAATTGTATTGCTATTTATATAGCTTTCTGTACTGTTATCATTTTCTTCTTCATCTGATTCTATTTCATTAATAAAAACGACATTTTTTTTATCATTAAATACTTTTTTGCTGAAAGTTAGAGCAAACATATATTGATGCTTCTCTTGTGACAATTCTCTATTATTAGCAACAAAACCAGTATATTCACCAAATATAATTCTATCATCAGTTGCGTTTATTTTCTTTCCTATATAAACTATGGAATAACAGTCTTCATTGTGTGGGGTGCATAATCTTACTGGATGTTTATGATCTTTTAACTCCACTATTCTTATATCTGGATGAATTCTACCATGTAATAAAGTATCGTAAATTTCTTCATATAATTTTTTATTTCTATTTTTATATATTGCATTGTGTTGATTATCAAAAAAAGGTGCATGAATAAAAGGAGTCCATTCCATCTTATTGTTTGACCAACCACAACCAAAATATCCTGACTTAGAATTGTAGAATTTTTTCATTTTATGACTAAAATATACTCTTTCTATTTTTGAATCTTCTGATAATACTTGTGTTTTTACATATCTTTTGTTTCTCTTTTTTGCGATATCTTCTATTTTACAAAAAACCATTTTTTTTTCCTCTAATATTTTTTTTAGTTCTCCTATTCGTAATTTATCCTGTAATTTTTCCTCTTTATTTTGTTTATTAGCAGATATTATAGAGTTTCCATGTAATAAATCTAAATCAATAACAATTTTTCCTTGTTCTTGTAATTTCTTTTTTTTTTTTAAATATTTTATGTAACTAGAATCATCTGTAGAATAAGATGCACCATCACTTTCATTATAATAATATTCTTCTTCATTAGAATAACTTTCTGATATTGACTTTTCGTTTTCTATTTCATATGTATTATTATTAATTTTTATCTCTTTTTTTATGCTATTTTTTTTTATTTCATCAAATAATATTTCTTTATTTTCCAATGTATCTGCTATTATTTCATTTTTATTTATATCATCCGTTGTACTGTTAAATTTTATCTCATCTATATTTTTATGATAATCCATTTCATTTGAACTATTATCATTTTTTATTTCAACTGAATTATTATAATTTTCAAAATCTGTTTCTTTATTTTTTTGTACCTCATTAGATACTACAATACTATTTACTGTTTCATTATGCATTTTACTTTTTTCTTTTTGTTGTGAATTATTATTATTTTTCAATTCATAAGAGGTTCTGTTCTTATATCTATTTCCTTTTTCTATTTTTTTTTTTACCGTTTTATTAATGTTTCCTTTTTTAATTAGCATTTTACTTCTTACATTTTTATCAGTACTATTTTCTAAATAAATTGAATTATTTTTGCACATTTTATTATTTTCATTTTTATTTAAAAATAAATTTATATCATTTTTATTTTTTTTATTTTTTGGTGTAACTTGTTTCTCCTCTTTTTTTTGGTCATAAAAATATGCAGATGCATTATTATTTTTTTTGTAAGAATTTCTTTTTAATACTTTATTTTGAGAATCTAATTTTTTATTTTTGTTTACACTTTGATATCTTTTATCAATTTTTTCATTTGAAAAACTTAGAATACTATCATTATTTTTTATTAATTGACTTCTATCATAAAAATCGTCTTTTTTATAATTATTAACATTTTCAAATGTGTTACTTTTTTTTATATTATCTTTGTTTAATGAATACTCTTTTCGCATTTTCATATTTTTTGTATGTTCAAAAATGTCTTTCATAATTTTTTCATTCGATCTTCTACTTAAAGAAGTTAATTCTGATTTATATTTACCGACTGATATTATTCCTTCTCTAATGTCTTCTTTTTTTTGAAAATTTCCTTTTTCTCTTAAAATCTCATTTTCTATTTTATCTTCTATTTCTTCAGTTATATATTTATCTTTTAAATACATTTTTTTGTTCGAATTTTCTCGATCATCTACATAAATATGTAAAACACTTTTTAAACATTTAAAACAATGAAATATATTTTCAGGTGTTTTTCCATCATTTAACCTATCTCTATTTAATCTTTCCTTACTTAAAAAAAAAGAAACGTATTTATATAAATTTGAATTTCTTCTAATTTTTAATCCATTCATTATTTCATTTTTTCCTTCTTCAGTTAAAAAAGGTTTATAATTTGATCTACATAAAGCACTACATATATCTAAAAAGAAATCTACTCCATAAGTTTCAACATTATAATAGTATTCAAATTTCTTCCCTGTGTATCCTTCAATTCTTTTTTTTGACTCTTCACATGTGCAATTAATTTTATCCATATCAAGAACTTTTTTTATATCTTCATCGATTTCAAATTTAATCGATGAATTATCTTCTTTAATCTCACTTAATATTTCTTTATCTGATTTTTCGCTTAATTTTAGCATATTAGCTAAATTACTTAAAATTTTTGACTCATATTTGATCGGAGAAGCACTCATGTTTATCACAATAAAAATATATATATAAATAAATATATCAGTAAAATTAAAAAGGATCTTAAATTTATAAATGTTCTTTACATGTTAATACTAAGAATATTTATAAATGTAAATATTTATTTGCTTTTTCAAATTATATGTATTCATTTAAATTGTATTTTTTAATTAAAATATCATTCATATTTAAGCTTCTATAATATGTATCAATTTTTTTTTTAATTATAATTATAAAATATATATAATCTCTTCTTTTTTATGTAAAGCATATTTATATAAGTATATTAACTAACATTTATACATATATTTTAATCCTGTATTCAAATACGTATATTTTTTTTTTTTCTTTTATTATTTTTCATATTGATTATATTTTGAAACAGAAAATTCCTTATAAATAACGTTGTTTAGTGATAATATCAATCAATTCTTGAACTTACAGCTATACATATATTCAATAATTTAAAAAAAAATTCTTATATAATTAATGAATTATTTAATTTATATAAAAATAATAAAAATTATATTCTTTATAAAAAAAAAAAAAAATGTAAGTGATATGAAAAAAATATTTTTTTAAAAGTTATATTTTTATCTAAATCTATATATACTATTAAAAGCAAATTAAGGAATTTATTTTTTGAATAAATGAAAAAAAAAAAAAAAAAAAATAAAATAAAAAAATAAAATAAACAAATATATATAAAGTGAATAATTAATTAAGATTAAAAAAGGAAAAAAATAGTTAAATAAATAACAATTTATGTTACGTGTATAAATATATATATAGACATATACTATATATTTTAATTAGTAGAATATTTCAAAAAAAATATTTTCCTTAAAATCTAAATAATAACATGTAAAAATTTATAAAATTTAAACTTATATATATACCTTGCAAAAAAAAAAAAAAAAAATAATATTAAAATGAACAAAATAATAACATATTAAAATATTTGCAATAGCAATATTTTTAAATTTATTGAATACATTCATATATATATATATGTATATATATATTCATAAAATAATAGATATTTTAAATATATTAAATAAAAAGATTAAATTAACGTTTCTAACAAGAATTGTGCAAAAAAACTATACACATTTTAATTAAAACTACGATATTTTCATTCCCATTAAGTAAAAAAAGATGTAACACATTTTAAAATGATATTAAAAAAAAAAAATTACTTTTTATTTATAAGTATAAAAATAAAATGAAAATATTTATTATTATATATCATTTTATATTAAAAAAAAAAAAAAAAAAAGTTTATACAAATATATAAATATATATATATATATATATATTTTATTTATATATGAATATTTAAGTATTATTATAACAAATAAGAACGAAATAAAATATTATCATTTTAATATTATAATAAATATTAATAATTATTATTTATTTGAATCTTAGTATTCTTAATATATATAAACTTTTTATTCTTTATTTTTACTTCTGTTAACATTTATTTCATTTACAAATTTTCATAATATTTAAATAAATATACACTTTAAATTGTTTTAAATAAAAAATGATCAGTAATAACTGCATTTTTTTTTTTTTTTTTATTATATTCTTTTTTTGTTTTTTGTTTTTTTTTTTTTTTTTATGTGTATTTTTAAGTATAATAATTTTTTAAAATAATTAATTTAAAACTTAACTTTTTTGTTTTTTTTGATTAGAATTGAAAAAATATTTATAAGTTTAACTATTGTAAAAACAAATTAAGAGTTTTATATAACTTAACGATTTTTTTATTCGATATATAAAAATATACATACATATAAAAAAATATGTAACCAAAAATCAAAAAGAATAATAAATGAATGTCTAAAATAGTTTTAAATGTATGATAGAAAATATTAAAAAAGGTTTTTTTAATATTAAAAAATAAATCAGATTTTTATAAAATTCGTTTTTTTTTTTATTAACAAAAATAAACTTTGAGAATTATAAATTTTATGAATATTATTTAAAAAATGTTAATATCTTTGAAATTTTTTCTGTTTCTAAAGTTTTTTTTTTTTTTTTACAGAGAAAATACTTAATAATTTCTACGTGTATCAATATGTTTTTTGACAACCTTTTATTTTTGATATACATTGTTTTATAATTAATAGTTAATACAATTTTATATATCTTATATTTTTAGTAATTTTTTATTTTTTTTAATACATCTTGGTAGTTTTATAAATTACTTTAATGCACTGTGGGAATGTTTTAATTAATATATTCAAAAAGAACATATTTAAATTTATTCTTTATTTTTTTCTTTTTATTAAATTTGAATACATTGAATCATTATGAGCATGCAAAATTAATGATAATAAAAAAAAAAAAAAAAAAAAAAATTAAATTATATATTTAAAAATAAATTTTTTATTAATAACAATTACTATTCTTTTATTGTCTACTATATTTTAATATTTCAGTAAATTCCATTTTGAAATATATGTTTAGATAGAATCATATAATGTATCTAATTTTTACTTCTTTTTGAACTCTAAATTTAAAATATTCTTTATAAAAATGTGAAAAAAGATAAATTAAAATTTTTTATGTTTAATTTTTATTAACTTTATTTTTCCTTAAAAAAGATATAAAGAAATATTATAAAATATGAAATATATATACTGAAGAACAAGTTCGCTAGATAAAAAATAACAAATTTTAATAATATATTTTATTTTAATTTAATAATTGTTTTTACTTAATATTATAACTTATTATGTAAATACACATGACAAAAAAAAAAAAAAAAAAAAAAAAAAAAAATAATAATAAATTCTTACATAAAGGTATATTAGGAATCATTAAGTTTTGTCTACTTTTAAAAAGTAACTTTTTTTTACAAGATAAATAAAACATTTTTTTTTTATTATCAATATAAAAAACACTAGAATATTTTTAATTAATTTTTTTTTTTCTCTTTCTTTTGTATATTTTATTGTTTTTTTATATACTTCTATATTATTTAAAATACAATAATATAAAGCCAAAATGAAAACTATATTTCAGTTCCTTTTTTTATCCTTATTTATAAAGAATTTCTTCTGCCAAAATAAAGAAGGAGAAATTGATAAGATTCATCAAAATAACTTTAGTAAAAAATAAAATTTTAAAATATTTTTTCTATATATATTTGTTATTAATAAATATTAAATTTCTTACTTTAGTAGGTACATAGTACATTATTACAACCAAAAAAAAAAAAAAAAAAAAAAAAAATCAACTTAAAAAATTTCATAGTATTAATCTATAAATCTTTAATAAAATTAATTAAATTTGATAAAAAAATAAAAATATATATAATGATATTAAAAAAATATTTATAATTTTTGTTTCATTATTATATATATATTCTAATTCTATTACTTCTATACTACTTTTTTTTTTATATGTTAAATTAAGATTCATCACCAAATATTATAATTGCCGTAAATAAACCACAAACTAAAAAGATTTCTCCTATTAATGAAAATAATATTTATATAAATGTAAATATATTAACTATATTAAATATATTAAATATATTAACTATATTAAATATATTAAATATATTAACTATATTAACTATATTAAATATATTCATACACAAACTACTCATTAAAATAATCACAAAAAAATAAAAAAAAATTAACTTTTTTATTAATATATTTCTTTTTTTTCTTGTTTAGAGAAAAAAGCAGAATAAACTTGAAAATATTATAAATAATGGTAATTATTTTGAATTCTTATTGTAAAAGTGAAAATAGTTCTTATATTTTTTTATTTGTTATAATCATATTATAGTGGAAGAGTTGTTACAAAATATTAATGATAATAAAAATGTTATAATAGACAAAATTAATATAAATCAATGAAAAATTAAAATACTATATATCATTATTAAAAAAACATTTATCCATTTCATTTTTCTTTTTTATTCGAATAATTTTTTTTTTTTTTTTTTAGAAATTAGTAGAAAACGCAAATGGGAGAAATTACGGATTAAATATGGAAACTGAAATTATTAATGCAAATGATGAAAATGTTTTAAATATATTATTAAATGGAAAATATAATTTAAATAAGGAAAAAAAAAATTTTTCAGCACCTATAATTATGGTTTTTCCTCAACCATTAACAAATCAGTGAATACATTTAAAAAAATATATTTTATTACAACCTAAACTAACTTATAGTGATATTTATATTTACATTTTATTATTTTTAAGGGAAATAATAGATTATGAAAAATATAAAGAATTAATAAAAAGTTTAAAAAAGACCAAAAATTTACTATTAAAAGTGGGTTATTTTGAAAAATTATCTGGTAAATTTATATTTAAAAAAAGTTATATGTATACATTTATGTTTCATATTTTATGTATAATCCTTTCAATATACATTGATAAAGTAAAATTAATAATTATTTATTATAATAGAATGGAATAAATTTATATATAAAATGAGCATCCATAAAAAATAAGAATCTATTTTTTTTTTTTTTTTTTTTTTTTTTAAATATTTAATTCAGATATTAAAAGCAAAAATAAAAAAGAAGCTACTAAAGAAATAGAAAATACAATAAAAATTATTGAAAAGGTTATTTTTTATTTTTTAAAAAGTTAATAACTTTTTTTTTCATTATTTTCCTATTATTTCTTATAACTAATTTATCTTACCTTTTTTAATTATTACAACCTTTGAAAATTAAAAACTTTTCTTTATAACTCTGTTTTATTTTTTCCTAATAATTATGTTTTTTTTACTTTTTTTTTTTATAATACTTTTAGTCAATTTCAAGAAGACACATTATAGATGAAATATTAGAAGAAATATATGATGAACATAGAAATGAAGATGTATATTATTTTATAATATATATGCTTTTTTTTATAAAATTAAAAATATTACAAAATTAAAAAAGTGTTGAAATACATAAATATATACATAATTAAACAACTTTATCTCTTTTTTTGTTTTTAGAAAAATATCAAAAAATTAAAAAATGAAAGTGAATTCTTAAAACAAAAGATAAATGTTTTGGTAAATTAAGAAAATAATTACACTATTTAATTTTACTTTTCTTTATATAAGTAATGTTATTTTGTTTGATTAGAATGAAAAAATTAGAAAATTAGGATATATAATTTAGCAAATTTTTTTGTTCAAAGTCCTTAAAAATCATATTGTAAAAAATTCTAAATTAAAAAGTTTTTTATTCTTTTCTCATTTTATTTAAGTATATTTTTTCTTTTCTTCTTTCTGTAGGACGTGTTTCAAAAAAAATAAACATATACATATATATATTTATGTAATTAAATATTTTCCATAATTTTTTTTTTTTTCTTTCTTTTTATAAATTATTGATAAAAGAAATATTTATTTCTTTTGCGTAAATGTTATTTTCTCTTTTAAAACTAATTTATAAAAATTTGTAAAAATTATATATATATATATATTATAAACTTTTTTTTTTTTTTTTTTTTTTTTTTTTTTTTTTTAATAATCGAAGCAACTTTTATTTTTCTTTTTATTGTTTAATGATGCAATGTTTAATATAATTTTAAGAAAATGCAAAGATAAATTTTTATCTTTATGAAACATATTTAATAAAAAAAATAATTATTTTTTTACTTTTATCTTACTGTAATTATTTGTAAAATTTTATTTTATTTAATCTCAATGTATAAAAGTATTGTTCTGAAAATATAAGAGATAAAATGCCTTTAAATGTAATAACTCCATCCGGTAAATTTCTCACTTAATGTTAATTTTACATTTTTTTAAGAAATACATTGTCCTTTTATAAGTATTATTTCTATAAAAGTATATGTATATATAAAATATTATTATTTTTTTTTTTTATAGAACCGAAGGATCCTTCAATGATTTTTAAATATAAAACAAAAGAAGAATATTCAGGAGAATTAGAAGGAATTTTAATTTTATGCTTTTTAGGAATTTTTGTAGGAATAATTTTTAAGGTAAAACTTTTATATTAAAAACAAAGGAAAGTTATATAAATCTGATTATACGTTAAATTATTTATTTCTTTGAAATTCCTTTTTCTTTTATTTCATATTGATTAGGTAATTGAAATAATTTTTGTGATTATTTTTGTAATCCTTTCTGTATATTTAACTGCGAAAAATGGAGAAATAAATGTTTTATCATCATTGCCACTAATTTTGTATGCTATTTTTTAAATAATAATTACAAACACACAAAAAAAAATAAAATAAAATAAAATAAATAAATAAATAAATAAATAAATAAATAAATAAATAAATAAATAATAATTAAAAATACTCATTAAATGTTAATACATTTAAATTAACATTTTTCATTTATATTTTATCAATTTTTTTTTTTTTTTTTTTTTTTAGAATGATTCTAATGACATCAGGAATAACATGGATTCAGCAAAAAGCTTTTTATAAAAGACATGAAAAAAAATTTGAGACGTAATATTATACTATTAATTATAAATTTTTTTTTTTTTTTTCTTTTTTATATTAATTCCTAGTTATACTTTCAAATATTAACATAAAAACATAAAAAAAAATTTTTTTATAAATAATAATTTCCTTATTTGATAATTAAAAAAAAAAAAAAAAAAAATATACATATATATATATATATATATATATATATATATATATATATATATATATATCGAAAAAAAAAAAAAAAAAAAAAAACTGAGTATACATTTATTCATTGCCAAAAATTGGAATAAAATTTTTTTTTTTTTCTGATTTTGATGACCATATTTTGCCTTCAATATCATATAGGGGTAATATATTTTGAAAATTAATATTATTTGTATTTGCAATTTTAGAACCATTAAGAACCTTTTCAGGAATTTTCATAAAAGTATCCTTTATTTTTGATGTTTGAATAATATTATTTTTCCAGGAACCGTAATGAAGATAATCAGAATTGATTGAATTTATAGAAATACAATCTTCACTACTTGTATCATAACCATATGTTCCTTTGTATTCAATGTTTTGTTTTAAGTAATTAGTAATTTCTTTTGCTTTTCCTTCTTTATTTTTTTTTTTATCATTTTTTTTTTTTTTTTTTGTTTTATTTGATTCAATGTATTCAAATGATTGGTCTGTATTGCAATTTTTAGGTTTCATTTGTTGTAATATTAATCTTTGTTCATCATTTTCTAGCTTCTTTTTTTCTCTTTTCTTTTTAAAATCATTAGAATTGGTACTTTTATCACTACTTGTGTATCTTCCTATGATGTTTCCCGTAAAAACTTCTATCTCATTTGAACCTTTTGTTTTTATTTTACTTTTTTTTTTAATTTTAGTGTTCTTTTCTTTTCCATTTATAATATCTTCATTTTTATTAAGAAATAATATATGGTTTCTAAAAAAAAAAATTTTATTAAAGAAAATATATTTCTTTATTAAAGCTAGAATTTAATGATAGTTGAATTAAAAAATTTATTCATATACACAACTGAATTTTTCTAAAATATTTTAATTACAAAACTATTTCTAAAAAGCTTTCTCTTTTTGATAATTCGGGATACATAAACATTCCTATGTTGCATAGAAGCTTTAAAAAAAAATTTTTTATCAAAATTATAATGTAATAGATATAAAATAAATACAAAACTATATTTTTTATTTCAACAAAATATAATATATATATTTTAAGAAGTTTAAGTAATATTAGAAAAATAACGAAAGTTCAATATATAAAACATATATATATATATTAAATTATTTTTATATAAAGATAAGAAAATTTATTACAAGCTTAAAGTAAAAATAGGTAAAAACATCTTCACTTAAATTAATACCCTCAATATACTTTCTTTTATTTAATACTATAAAGTAAAAGATATTAAAGAACTTATTAATTTTCTTATTTGTTTAATCAAATTATTTTTTAAAGTATTTAAAAATGTCTAAAAAAATAAATGAGTATGAGAATACATATTTGAACTTTATAAAATTTTTTTTTTTTTTTAAAATACTTTCATTAAATAAGTTTTCTGCATTTTCTATATTTAAGTTTATGTTTTTTTCATTCTTTCCATTTTTTCTTAATAAGTAATAAGTTACCAAAAAATTAGCACAACGTTTTTTGTCCATTACATATTCTACAATTCTATTTTAAATAAAAATATATAAATTAAAATTAATCTAATGATAATTGTAGTAATATTAAATATAATATTAATATAATTATGTTAATTATTTATTAAACATATATTTGTTATTTTCTTTTTCTTCCTTATTACTCTCCATTATAAGTACTATATAACGAAAAAATTTTCATTAACACTGATTCTTCTTCACCAGACAAAAATAATAGCCCTATATTTGCAAAAAAAAAAAAAAAAAAAAAAAAAAAAAAATAGTATAAAGTTATTATTTTCTTTTTTTTTTAAATCCATTTTTATATATTTCCTGATAAGTGAATTTTTTTTTATTTATGTATTATGAATTTAATAGAATATTTTAAATAATAAATATAATGGTGTTTGTTTTTTTTTGCATTATTTTTATATGTAATTTACATATATAAAACTTTTGTTATTTATTTTTTAAATATATGAAGATAAAATTATTTGTATTATTTTTTTATACACTAGCATAAATATAATATATATATATATATATATATATATATATATATATATATATATATATATATATATATATATATATATATATAAATCAGAATTATTTTAATTATTTTTATTTATAAACTTTTTAGTATATATATTTCTAATCTTACTTTTTAATTCTAAATATTCCATGTCTATTTTTTTTGATTCCTCCTTTTTAGTTAATTGAAGTTGCTCTCTATTTTCAAAATCTTCTATTATTTCTTTTTGTTTTTTCTCTAAATCATTTTTTTCTTCTTGTAATTTTTTTATTTCACTTTTTAGTTCAGTAATTTTTTTTCTTTCAATTTCTAATAGATTTAAGTTATTTTTGTTGATATTCTCAATTTCAATATTTTTCTCTTCAATCATTTTTAATGCGTTGCTTATTTCTTCTTTTAATTTTTTAATAACTTCTTCTTTTTGAATACATTTTTTTTCCATTTCATTTATTTTTTCTTTTATTTCTATTTCATCAAAACTTCGTGATTTTAACATAGTACAATTGATATTGTTTGTATTTAACTCTTCACTTTTTTTTTCTTCCTTATTATCTTCATTTATTTTTATTTCTGTTATATCCGTCATAGTTCCTTCATTTTTTACATCGACATTAGTGTTGCAAGATGAGTTCGTCATAACACAAACAGCATTGATACCAACAGTTTGTTTTTTTATTGAAACTTGTATTCCTACATTATACTTTTCGCTTTTTAAGACTTCTTTTGAAAATTTTAATGCAGTTAAATGCTTAATTAATACATTGAACTATTTTAAAAATAATATAAAAAATAATAATTTGTATATATATTAATATTTATTTTAATTAATAAAAATATGTCCTATTATATATAGAAGAATTATATATGTTCATCAATTTTTTTTTCTTTTATATTTTTAATTATAAATATATAGCAACTTAAAAAAAAAAAAAAATATATATACTTTTTCTTGTTCTGTCATTATTAATTTACGAAATAAAAATCCACTAAGCCTATGTAGTATTTGAAAAAAATCTTTATATTCTAATAAAAAAAAAAAAATTTATCAAAATTTATTTATCATAATTAAATTTAAATTATTCACAATGATATTATAATAGAAATGTTGTATATATTATAAAAATATAAATTCTGTTAAAAAATTATTAGTTTTTTCTTTTTCATTTTTTTTTTTTTTTTAAAAATACCTATATACCCATTTTTTGATGATTTGGGTGATTTGAATATATAATGTAGTATGTCTTTATTTTTATTTTGAGGTAATAAATTATAATCATAGCACTAAAAAAAAAATTGTTTTAATATAATCTGAATGTTAAAGATAAGAAACTGATTTTAAAAGAATAAAATTCTATTATTGACAAAAAATAAAAACGTAACTGCTATATATCTAAAATAGGGAATAATAAAATGATTATATGTAATGTATATAAACATATACCATAAAAATATGTTAGTTAAATACAATAATTTGAAAATTACAACTTTTATTTTATTTTTATTAAATTATATAATTTATTCGTATTTTTAAAATCTCATAAATAAAATATAAATATGTATATATAACATACATTAAAAAAAAAAAATTGTAGAATAATTCTATCATATATATATATATATATTAACCATTTTTATGAATTCATTAACACCCATATATCCATTTATTGAATATCTTTTAAAAATATTTTCTAATGATTTATTTAATTCATAACTTAAATATATCGCAGTTCCGTCATTTTCAGGTATTAAATATGCTTGTTCTGTAATATATTCTTGTTCTTTTATCTTTTGGATAGTTTTAAATTTAACTCGTGGAGATATTGGTTTACCTTGATTTATACATGCCATTTTAATTTAGCTTTCATGTTTTTAATTATTTAATATTCTATAACTCTTAATATTTTAATTAACTCAGAAAAAATATATATACACAAAAAAAAAAAAAAAAAAAAAATTAATAAAAATTAAAATATAAAAAGAACAAATAATAACAAAAGGTATGTTATAAATTAAATATGAAAAATTTTAATATAAACAATTGTTTTTTTTATCCTATTATAAAAATTTAAAAATAAACATGAGAATTAATATATATATATATATTATATACATAAAGATATTTCAATAAATTTAAAATAAAATAAATAAAAAAAAAGACAATTTTTATTCAAAGATTTAAAAAAAAAAAAAAAAGGAATACTGAAATTTTTTTATTATTTTGTCTATAAAAATACGTTTTTCATTAAAAAAAAAACTTATGTTATTTTTATAAGACATTATTATTATAGATATATTTATAATAATTAATGAATTAATGAAAACAATTTTTAAAAATAATCTAAAACATAACGCTACTTTTAATACATATTTTCCTGTTTACCCTTTTCATTTTTTTTTTTTTTTTTTTTTTTTTTTTTTTTTTTT